CCACTGTCCCTGTGCTGGAAGAATCCTGTGCCTTCTGCAGGGTCTCAGCCAACCAACTAGCCAACTGCTGATCAGTGAACCAACTAACAAACCAACTCCTTCCCTCCCTCCCTCCCTCAAGACAGTGCTGCTATAGGAATCCTGAGGTGTCCCTCGTTCTGTCCTTTTTAGTTATCGTCTCCCCTCCAACCAAACCTCCTGGGTCAAAAGAAAACCCTCTAAACACACACGTGCCATTGAATTCTGAATCGGCTTTGGTTAGTCAGGAGCCGAGACTGAGGATTGAATAGTAGAGGGAGGATCCAAGTGATGGTGAAAATACCACTTGGCAGAATTTGATGCCTCGATTGGACATCGAGAGCTTAGGAAAGGCCCCTGCATCTCTCTGGGCTCTGGAACATTCCTGGTTGACGCCATGCAGCTGTCCCATAACAATGCTGGAATTATCCTCTATTCAGGGCCTGATTGAGTGGGGGTGTGGCCACCCCTTTGATGCCTTAGTTTTTATGTATCACTCTCTATTTACGCATGGATCATTTTTTCTTACGGCGTTAAAAAAAAAAAAAAAAAAGTACCAGGCACAGCTTTTGCATAAGGGTAGACACATCAGAGCTTTTTGTTAAAGATAAGAAAAAAATTGCTTCCACTTCAAGCTCAAATATTACAGCTGACTGCCAGAGCCGCCCTGTAATTACGCCCCCTGTCTGGGGAGTTCTCAAAATGTCACTTTGTCTCAGTGTTGAAGATGGATTACCTCTTGGGTTCCATGCTAAAGGATCCTTTGGCTAAGAGGATTAAACTGTCAAATATTTTTTAATGCTCTTCCCTCTCCCACTCCTCCTCTTCCTCTTTTTCTCCTTCTTCTTTTCCTCCTTCTTCTTTTTTTAGATAAAGAGGAGAAATGAGTTACTCCTTTCTCTCTGCCTTTTACAAGCGTTTCTCCAGAGAGCCCCTTAGTGTCCTGGTGTTGCAAGATACTCRCTCTGTGTTGGGGCAAAAGGATCCATCCAACGCCACTGAGCTTGACCGCACACAGGTCTCAGGGGTCCAAGATCTGGGCTTGTCCTCCCCTCAACTGCCTGATCAGGGAAGGCCCATGAAGGTAAAGGTGATGTAAAGTTTCAGGAAATATTGTCTCTCTTTGAGTCAAATGAAATTTCAGTTTAATGCAATCCCGAAAACTTTTTGCAAAAAAAATCTCTTTTTTGGAAAGCAAAATTACACTCAGCATCCTTTCTTTTTTTTGGTTTCTTGACCGCATTTTTCCTTGGAGAGATTTAGGACAGCTAAGTAGAAATTAAAATTTCCGTACATAAACAGACATGGAGACAGCTGGCTTTCATTGTGTGAAGAGCWCTGGGCTGGGAGTCTTGGATGAGCCATGAGAGTTTTCATTCTCTTATTTTTCAACAGATTGGCATTTCTCTTGATGACAAATATCATAAATGCTCTTTGTTGAAATTTATGTGTTATATGAAAATATAACCTCCCCAGAGCCTCACCACCCAAAGACAGCCACATAAGCGGTCCACACTGTCTCTGGGAGCTTCTGCTTCCCCTGGTCTAGTCTGTAGGTCCAGTGTTCAGCAGGGTTTGTCTTGGGGTGCCGACCAAGGCGTCTCCCTATCCAGATGGGTTGGAAGTAACCGCGGTGGGTCTCACTCTACTCCTGCCCTGCTAAACTGATATTTCTCTTGTCTTTTTGAAAAAATGAGAATAACTTGGACACTTGGTCCAACGCTTGGAGTCTGAAGGTTTCCAGGAAGGATGTGGGATCTGTGGCTCTCAGTTCCCCAAAATAGGAGGGTGATTGGAAAAGCAGTCGGACTCCGAGCACCATGCCCCTGTTGCTGGAGTGACCGTGACCCTAACAAATAAGAAAAAGGACCTTGCTCAGGAGGAGTGGCAGACTCCAGGGCCTCTAAAAGCCTCCTTCTATGGAACTGTCTTGGGAGTCTGCAGTCTGTTCTTCTGTATCTAGTAGATGCTCCCAGAGGGTTGTTGACTGACTGCGTGAAGGCATCTGACTTGCCTTCACAGCAGCTGCAGACTCCTCCTGATGAGCGGACACTCCCAGGGAACATTCCCTRGGAGAGAGGATCCTGCTCCTCCTCGCAGTCTCTGCCCTCCTGCTCTCCCTAACCTGACCTGTAGTTCCGTCCAGGTCCCTCAGGGTCCCCACCTTTACAGCTGCTTGACCTTCACAGATGGGTGTTGGCCAGGACCCCGTCTGTCCCCAAGTCATTGCTGGCTTTCCTGGTAGGGAGGGTTTAGGGGGTCCTTGGAAAGAACAGGGGCCTAGGAGAGCCCCCCTCCTCACTGGAGCTGTCTCCCCATGCAGTGAACTGTTTGGGGGAGGATGAGTGCGTCTCTGCGGCTGAGGGAGCCCACGGCCCTGCTCTGAAGAGTCTCTACCTCCACAGAGTTATTCGGGGTCCTGGAAACTGTACAACAAAAACGGATCTTCACTGTGGCCCGSGGGAGTCTTCCGTGGTCACTAGGATCCATTCAGGGTTAAGGACTCAGTTGAACCATTGGGACATGAATGAAATAACGAGAGAAATCAGAATGTGTGCTGTTCTTCCTGGTGGGTGCTTCTCTTCTATGAGCTGAATCTTCCCTCTTCCAACCCCAGGCCACCCACCCTTTGCTCTTCCTGATGAAAATATTGTGTAGCTTAACTATTGCTGTCTTACAAATTACTCAAAATATATTGGTTTAAAACAGTAGTAATTGATTATTAACTCTCTTTAGTTTGGTGGGCCAGAAATTTGAGTGCAGCTTGGTTCTGGCTCTGGGTCTCATGAGGCTACCKTCCAGTGGTAGCTGGGGCTGTGGTCTCATCTGAAGGCCTGACTGGGGTTGAAGGTCCATGTCCAAAGTGATTCACTCATTCATGGCAAGCTGGTGCTGGCTCTTGGCTGGGGCCTCAACTCTTCCCATGTGAGCCTCTCCTCAGGGCTGCTTGGGCATCCTCCTGGCATGGTAGCTGGCCTCCACCCCATCCCCACCCCCRCAGAAGCGGCAGTGTTATGTATTASCTGGTCTTGGAAGTCACCTTTGTTACTTCTGCAGGTCCCATTGGACACTAGTGTCCATGAGTCAGTCCTGTTCACAGTGGAAAGGGCTACACAGGGTGTAGCTATCAGGATGTGGCAACTGCTGGTCCACCCACGATGATTTTTTTAAGATGGTGCCACCCCCAGATAGAGGCTCTATTTCCTCCCCTTACCCCTATTTAGGAACAAGAGGACACTTAGCCTCAGTTCTGCTTTTAAGCCATGGATTCCCCAACACCCATATCCCCTTTTTTGTCCTTCACCTTGTGGGTTTTCACACATGGCCTGCCACTCTGTTGCAGTGTTCATCCTGACTTCCTTAAGTCACTTCTGTACTCTTGGTGAGCCCTGACCTTGGTCTCTGGTCCTGATAAGATCCCTCTTGGCTTAGGATATCTCAGCAGAGGGCAGCTGTACTGAGCAATGGTGGCAGACTCTATCCTTCCTGGCTTGGTTGGAAGTGTCTGGATGGTCCAGGGCTGCATCCTGGTGTGGGGGTTGTCCCCTTGGGGCATGGAAGCTAAGACTTCAGGGCCCGGACACTGGGAATTTCAGCAATGGTGACTCAAATGACAACTGCTGAGATTCCTTGAGCACCTGTCAAAGAATGCCATGGGCCAGGTTGTCATTCCTCACAACAGTTCCAACACAGATGTCTTGTGTTTTGCCCATATTATAAAGAAAGAAATGAGGCTCTGAGGTACAAAAGGCCATACCACCTGTGAGCCAGGGCTTGAGCCTTTGAGATTCTCCAGCCACCTGTGCCTATTGCTGCTGGTCACAGCAGCTCTGTATCCTCAGATGGGGGCCCAGCAGAGTCARACAGAACCTGGAGACAAGCTCTGCATCACCTCCATCTCCAGGGCGGACACACAAGACCATCACTGCACATTTGTTGAGGGGAATGAATGCGTGCTCCATCGTGCATCTCTAGAGCATTCTTCCAATTCTCTGGGGTTAAGAGGAAGATGACCTGAGAGAGTGAAATGGGTGGCATCTCCCAGCATCCTCATCCCAACAAAAATACKGGTAAACATTGGGAGGAGTTGAGTTGTGGGTATGAGACCCCATTTCCAGCCACAGTGGACATCATTGGGGAACTCACGAAGCACCCCTCTGTTTCACACTCTGTTGAAATGTTCCAGGAAGTCACTATGGATTGCAGACATCACCCCTTTCACAGGTCCCTTTATGCCTTCTGTGGTTGTAGCTTGGTTTTATTTGTCACACACCCACAAGACATTTCCCTGGTACAAGGCGCTGCCACAGGTGCACTGAGGTTGGTAGCTCATGTGACGCCCCTCCCAGTACTCCTGAAAGGGCCTATGTGATCACCCCCATCTGACAATAAGGAGACTAAGACCCAGGGAAATTGCTTTTAAAAAAAGAATTTAGAGCTGCATGAATAGGGCATGAGTACAACCGAGTCAGACTTTGCAGTCCAAGTCTTTTAGCACCCCTGTTTTATTTTCCATTGACTTTCTCCCTAAGACAACAAGGGAGCCTCTTGGGGTCTAGTTAGGGGCTCTGTCTAGGTCCCCTGATAGTTCCTTAAAATAAGCTGTCTGAAGCGGGGCTTCCCTATTTTCCAATCTTCTGAGGCCATTTCATTTTTTCCACCCATAAAGCTCTGGAAGGCTCTGCCAGGGCTTCTGGGCCAACCCTGCTGGGCTCCTCCTCCCCAGAGACATCTGTGGCTGCAAAGGCAGAGGCAGGAGAGTGGTGGTGGTCCTTGCCCAGAACACTTAGGGCCCCTCGCAGCAGCCTGTTACATTTTAACCAGTGGGTGGGTGCAGCTGTGGCTGAGGATGGCGCCCCCACCACCCAGCAAAGAGGGCTCTCCAGAACCACCAAGCCCAGCTCTTCTCCGGCTGCGTAATGATACGGAAATGCAAATACGCCATCATTTTGTGACCCTGTGTTGTGAAAATTAGAAAGAGGAAGTCGTGCTTTGCTACTGCATGAAGTTCAGCCCGAGAGGAAGAGACGCTTGCCTGGGAGAATAGCGAGTGGTGAGTGGGGATTGGCTCCGGGGATCTTCGCGGAGCCCTAACACTGTCTGGTTTTGTGAGGGAGACTTTGGGGTGGTGGAGGCATTTGGAGCAAAGCAAGAACCATTCGAGGGAGGCGGATGTTTTCAAGGCAGGAAGCTACTCCGTGGTGCTGAGTGGTGCCTCAGGCCGTGGGACCACAGCCTAGSTGCCTCTTGTGTCACCCAGGCCTGGGGGCAAAGCCTGGGAAGGCAGTCCCAGATGCAGGCCTTCCTATTCAATGTGGCTCCAGAAGCTTCCTCTGAAGTTCATAGTTTAGACATTAACAGACATGGCTCTTCTAGGAGGCTCTACCAGGAAGGAGGACTGAGTCCACCAAGGCCTCCTTGGGACTCCTAGCTGGGCCTGGGCAGCCTTGGGCATTGGGGATGCCACCTTAGAGGCAGGCAGCTCAAGGGTAGGGCCATAGCAGCAGCAGCAGCAGCAGCAGCAGCAGCAGCAGCAGCAGCCCAACTTGGTGGCACAGTACTTGTTCACATGGTGCAGAGAGGACAACAATGCCTAAGGAAGGGTCCCGGGCAACTCCCGGGATTGGGATCACTGGCCTCTGGGATCTATGGAGCTTGCAGAGCGGGGTCCTTATTACTGGAGACGTCCATATCATTTCCATTTTTCTTGAGGTTGGTAAGCGCTGTGGGGGAATGAGCGTCTGGGAGCCAGGCCCAGGGCAATGGCAGGGATAAGAAAGTCCACCAGAGCCTTCTCTCTCSCACTGTGACTTGGGGCAAATCCCACTCTGCTTCGATTTCCTTGTCTCTTAATCTGAATTCCACTGGTTCATTGAGGTTCAGGATGGGGGCAGCTCTGAGGCTATTCAGAGTGGCCCTTCCCAGCACCCAGAGGGGCCGTGGGAAGCCTTTTTAACAAAAGAGGAAATGGAGACCGAGCCCTCTGACAGCTTGCCCCCAGGCCCCCTAGTCTCTGAGTTGACTGTCTGGGTCCCCACACAAATTTTCAGAGAGGACAACACATTCAGCAGCCTGGGGCTGGGTGGGGCTGGCCGCAGTGTGGAGGGGAGGAAGTGGTTGGTCCCAGATGGGCTGTTACCAGGGCTGAGGCCCAGGTTCCGTCTTCAAGGGGACTGTCGCCTCTGCACTGAGACCAGCACCTCTCAAGGTGAAAGGCCTCTCAGAGCCACACTGGACTGTGACCTTTGCACACMGAGGCCTGGAGCCTGTTGTTCTTTGAGGTTAGAGCCGAGGTAGCCTTGTTCTGAGAGGCCTCCTCGCAGTGGGAGGGCGTAAGGTTGTGTCTGGCTTTCCTGCCCCGTGCTCTGAAGAGTGGCTCATGGGCTAGAATGATAACCTCAGGAATCTCTGAACCTGTGCTTGGAGCTCCCACAGCACCCTCCCTACCTGCCCCAGGTGGGCCTATCACGATCCCCATTTACAGAAGGGGAAACTGAGGCTCCATAGTAAAAGGAGCGGCCGAAGGAGTCCAGGACAGCCCTGGGCAGATGTGAAACCCAGAGGAGACAGGGTTTGTGGAGTGTTCTGCAGCTACAAGGAGGCTCAGGGATATGAGCGTGTGTCAAAAACAATGAACAAGGACAAAAGAAAGCCCAGAGCCGGCCACTGCAGAGACAGCCTGTCCCTGCCTGTCCCTGCACAGGGTGACTGGCAGTGAGCAGGGGCCACGCCAGCCCAGGAAGGAGACAAGAGATGAGGGGCCCTTCATTCACTGCCATCATCATCCTCGGGTCACTGGATCCTCCGTTCTGCAGATATTTCTGGGTCCTGGTAGGTGACCAGGGAGTCAGTGTCCAGTGGGGGAAATGGGCCACTGCCAGCCATGGATGTGTCTTTGCTGGTAGCGAAGAAGAGGGTGGGGAAAGACCCTGTGTGAAATGGGGACAGCCACATGASAAGTCTGGGGACAAGCCTACTGCAGTCTGGTGACATGTCCCTGTGCACACGGCACCTCCTGCTCTGCAGAGGGGGATACTTGGCCTAACTGTGCCCTGCTCTTCCTTGGGTTCCCTGACTCAGGTGCCAGGACAGTATCCTCCATCACCATCAACCGACTGTCGGGGTGGCTTCCAGGCCCCCACAAATGGATCCTCCTTGCATCCTACAATCTTTAAAAAAAATCAGAATGGAACTCATCTTACCGACTGGGTTGCCTCGTGGCTGGCTGTCAAGAGCCATCCTGGCCCCACCAGTCTCTGCCCCTTCCCCTCCCTCTTTGCCCCCCTCCAACACCTCACCTGCAGCCCCACCTCCCCTGGTTTGCTCAGTCTCCCTGCCTTCCCTGCTGTCTGCCATGCTCTTCCCCCTGCCTGTCCAGTGAGGGACAACTGGACTCTGGGATCTGTGAAGTGGGGTGACCCGAGCACTTACATCCTGTGAAGTTGGGGGTCTGGTCAATTAGACCCCATATTTTGTCTGATGATGGACCTTTGAAATCTGTGCAGGTTCTGTGGTGGAGGGGGTTTCCACATTTAGTTCTTACAAGTCACGCCTGGGACTGGGAGGGGGGAATTGGCCATCTGGACCTCCCTGTCTCGGCAGTGGCCTGACGGGTCACGGTGTGTTTGGATAAGAGGATGTGATGGCCTGACCTAGCCAGGACTGCTCTGAGGTGGAATGAGGCCTTTCGTGATCTCAACTTGGATTTTGTTATTTTAAAATGTGGACTCAGTCAAAACACTATTTTTRTTTAAGGGAAAGAATATTTTAGAGGGGATATAAAAACTCCTTGCTCTGCCAGTTCAAATGAATGCATTTATTTATTCCCCCTAAATATGGAGTCCTGTGTACCAGGCCTAGGGCTGCACGAAGGAGRTAAGGCTCTTCCTACGTCACTTACATCCCGAGAGGGAGGAGGACGACGAGGGGCAAGAGTGGGGGAAAGAGATGCTCTGGGGGAGAGCAGGACAGGTGAGGGTGGAGGGTGTCTTCTCTAGGGAGGGCCTGTCGGGAGCAGAGAGCTGGATAAAACAGGGAGTGAGGGGTGCTGGTCCTTGAAGTGGTACGATGCATGGGATGGGGGTGGAAGGAGAGGTCAAAGGGGACACGTATGTTGAGAATTTTGGTTTAGCTTGGAGGCTGCCAAGAAGTTCTTGGTTTTTTTGTCTTGTTTCATTTACTTTTTTTTTTTTTTTGATAACAAGGATTAAACCCAGGGATGCTTTACCACTGAGCTACATTCCCCAGCCCTTTTTATTTTTTTTTATTTTGAGACAGGGTCTCATAAGTTGCTTAGGGCCTCTCTAAGTTGCTGAGGCTGGTTTTGAACTTAAGATCCTCATGCCTCAGCCTCCTGAGTTGCTGGGATTATTCATTTACTTTTTTAAAATGGGAAATATCAAGCATTATCACAAGTAGGATGATGTCAGGAGCCCAGAGTGTTCACTGGGAGAAGCTGCCTGAATGTATGGAAAGAATGAAATTCAGAATCTCTCCTCCCTCGCGAGGGGGACCAAGGATCTTGGGGGCTTCAGGGTCAATTGTTTGCTCCAATATTTATTATGAAAAATTTCAAATATCTAGCCAAATACATTCCCTCAAATAATTTTGTCGGGAATAGCTGTGTGCCCATCCTGAGTTCTACTTTCTTTATCATACATCTAGCTCCTCATACAGGGAAGGAATCTTATTCTATTTTAAAGGCTGAATCTTAATTTTTCTCATTTTTTWAAATGTATGATAAGGAACAGTAATATTTCATTCATGGTTGTAATGTTGGTATTTATGTTCCTTCTCAATGAAAGAAATCAAAATAGAGACTAAATATAGGAAATAAATAAAAAGTGTAAATAAATAAAGTAGAAAATTTAAAGAGAAAATAAAAACAGAAACCAAACAAAAAGTACTGAGTAAACATATAAGTAAAAATGGTACTGCCTTTGGTTTCCTGGACACAGCAACCCTGTGTGACAGGTAGCTGTCAGTGGTATGCTAGAACTTTTGCTACATTTCCGTGTGTTGACCCCCATGCATTCCTGGGCTTACTATCTCTGAGTTTCTATTCTTCCAACCTCAGACAAAAATCATTATTTCTGGACCAGTTGCATGATTTTACCAAGTTCTGCTGCAGTTGACTAGAACTTTCAGCCTCTGCTTATGACAGAGGCCTGGAGATGCTTTAGGAGACTAAAGCTGGGTGACACTGAGTTTGAACCTGGTTGTCTGGACAGTAAAGGGTAGAAACAGGGTCATGCTAGATGCAAAGTCTTGGGGCCAATAATCGTTATGTTGCCTTCAAGATGAAACAATGTATTGAGGTTGGCCATGCCACATTCAGCGTGGGGGGATGAGGGGCTGTCATGTCCCCAGGGAGAGCCCAGAAGATGGGCCTGGGGTCAGAGCAGGGGAAAGTCCAGGCAGGACCATCTATGAGGCTGGGGTTGCCTGGAGCCTCTGGTGAACTTGACTGGGCAGGGCTCTCTATTCCTCCCCTTCCTTCTCCCTCTGGATTTGTCACCCAATGAGGTGTCCTTGGTCCCAGGAAAGTGAACTCCCCCMAAAATCAGAGAGCACAGCACACAGCCCAGAGTGGGGCCAGCTCCAGCGGTATCCCCTATGGCTATAGGAGCCAATGGGTACCTGCAGAGCTCCTCCCTTCCCACATAAGCTCAGATTAGTAGAATAATACTACTAATAATTATACTACTACTAACAATAATAATAATTTGTCCTTGTGTGTCTGGCTTATTTCAGTCAGAATAATGACCTCAAGACTCATCCGTGTTGTCGAATATGTCCAGCCTCCTTCCTTAAGTCTGAATACCATACCATTGTATGGGTAGTCTGCATTTTGCTTATCCATTTGTGTTAGTCAGCTTTTCATTGCTGTAACAAATTCCTGAGATAAATCAACTTACAAGGGGGAAAGGTTTTTTTGGGCTCATGGTTTCCAAGGTTTCAGTCCATGGTCACTTGGCCTTATTGCTTTGGGTCAATGGTGGCACAGTACATGAGTGGAGGAGGCCTATTCATTTCAAGGCAGCCAGAAATTWAAAAGAGAGACTAGAAAAGGYGGGGATCCCAATATCCCCTTCCAGGACAGACTCCCAGTGAGCTAACTCCTACCCTGCCTCCAGAAGCTTCTACCACCTCCCAGTAGCACCACAGGCTGGTGACCAAGCCTTTAGCACATGGACACTTCAGAGAGATTCAAAATCCAAACTAGAGCAGACTCACCCAGTTTAAAACAGTACAAGTCACTTTTAGAGGTGGTAGTGTGACCTGGATTTGTGAGTATCTGACCGAGGCATCTGAACAGAGGCAGATACACCTTTGTCTCCTTTTCTCTCCACCCAGCTTGCCCTGGTACCTCTTTCCTGTTCTGACCCCTACCCCAATTCCAAGGCATGAGGCACTCCGCTGTGTTCTCAGCAGTGACGACAGAGAACCTTAGTTTCATCAGTGACGACTCAAGCATTTCCCAGGCTGAGACCCCGAGGTGAGTATTCAGTGCTTCTGGGCACCTCCAGGCCATGAGGTGGTGTTGATTTGGCTGGCCCCCAATCATCTTACCTGGGTGGTCAGGGCACCCTGTGCCTTGCTCACTGCTGATATGGTCTTGCTGGGGTTTAAATGTAAAGCCACCAAACCAAGTCAGGAAAAGCTGAGCAGGATCACAGTGACTTGCAGTGACCACTCTGTCACCATCATTCAAATACAGACATAATCCATGTCTTTATGTTCCTGTCTGCTATCTCCAACATCGGTGTCTGTTATGGTCAGTTTCGATGGATGGAGTTTTGTTTTGTTTGTTTTTTTTCCCTTATTAGGGGTTGTATAGTCTCTTTGTGTGTCTAGTAATTATTGATTGGATTCTAGACGTTGTGACTTCTTTTGCTGGGAGCTGGGTTTTGTTTTGTTTTTAAATTATTTGAGTATTTTTGAGCTCTCTTCAGGGATGCAGCTAAGTTGTTAACAGTTTGGCCTTCCTGTTAAGATTTGTCAGGTGAGATCAGAACAATGGGTACTGTAGGGTTAACCCCCACTCTTAGGGCATGTCCCTCCTGAGTTCTGGACCTAATGCCCTGGAAGAAGAATATCTGAGTGTGAGTGTATGTGAGTCTGTGCGTCAACCTTGGACTTTCAAGACTGGCTGGTAGGAAGAGGGATGGCTTTGCCCTGCGTGAGCTTCAGGGAATGTTCCCTCTGATCTTTTCAGGCCATTCTTTCTCTAGCCTCTCTTGTTTCCTCACATCGACATGCTGAACAGTCCTTGAGGGACCCCCTCCACATCTCCAGGTTCTTTCTCTGTGCGGCTCTCTCCTCTCCAGGGCTCTGTTCTGTAAGCCCCAGTCACCTTGGTCTCCCAGACTCCCAGCTCTGTCTTCTCAACTTGGAGAATCCCCGTCCCCACTCCTCGGCCCAGCACGGTCTGCAGACAGTGAGTGGGAGCAACAGGGAGGCTTGTCCCATTTGATCCCTCCTCTCAGGGGTCACGGGGCTTTGCTGACTGGCTTACAGAGTCTTGTTCGTGTCCTGCTGTTTCAGGTGAGAATAAATCTGGCTTCTGTTGTTCCACCTTGATCAGAAGCATAATTCCTCGGAGTTGGGGTTGAACCAGACTCTGCCCTGCCAGACAGCTGCCTCTTGGACACGAGGGCTGAGCACAGCCCACATTCCATCCGTGTACTTTTATCTCAGTGTCATGTCTGACTTCTGGAAACTTGAGTTTATCTCCCATGCTATGAGAAGAATGCAGCAAAACACGTATTTTCTGTTGGGAAATCTTAATATTTCTGTCCATTGAGCTAGCTCAGAATGTGGCAGTAGCCAATGACAAATGTGCACCTGAAGTCGCTTGAAGAAAGGTCCACTCAGAGGTAGTCTTACCCACAGGAGCTTGTGTGGGTGGGGAGGAGCTTTGCAGGCACCCATTGGCTCCTAAAGTCACGGGTGACGCCCGCAGGAGCTGGTCCCGCAGTGGGCTGTGTGCTGTGCTCTCTGGGAGGTGAGACCACCAGGTGCCAGCTCAGGGAAGACAGCCTGTACCCGGAGGAGCCAGTTTCTGCACTGATCACCATTTATTGTGCTTAGCAGTGAGGGAGGAAGCACATAAAGAAGCTTCTGGAAGAAGAATATCTGAGTGTGAGTGTAAGTGAGTCTGTGTGTCAATGTGGGCATGTGAGAGAGGTAACGTGTGTGCGCATTACTGTGTGAATGTGTTTGTGATCAAGGTAGCTACTGTGTGCGTGTCAATGGGAGTATAGGAGCTACTTTGTGAGTGTGAGTGTGTGTGAGTGTGTGTGTGTGTGTGCGTGTGTGTGTGTGTGTGTGTGTGAGTGTACAGGGGAATGGCTATATGCCTGTGTCCTGGAGGGTGTCCAGGTGAGGTAGGGGTGTGGGCTGGGGAGAGGCCAGGTGGTGCCCTTGGCTCTCCTCATTCTGGGCACCTCCTGCATATTTAAGGTGATCTGTCCTTCCTGGTTGCAGGGCACTGCCCACGCATGGGGTGTGGCCGCTGGTGCCACCCTGCCCTTCTCTGCAATGCGTGTGGCCAGAGAGGTCAAGGATGGGCTTTGCCATGTCCTGCGTCCATCTCGAAGACCCTTGTGCCCTGCCTGGGGGTCTGCTGCTCTGGGAGGGGCCTGAGCTGCCCTTCTCCACCCCCTGCTTGTAGAACTGGGTCTTGGGGCTGCTCCGCGTGCCAGCTGGAGGAGACGGTTTCCATTCTCCTCTGCTGCTTTTCCAGTAGGTCCCCAATGGCTCCAGTTCAAACCTGCTAGGCAGGAGATTTCCATCAAATCGTCCAGCCTCTGCCGGCCAACCCCAGAACCAGCAGGAAGCAGACACTCACCTGTCAAACCTCAGTGGCATTAGCTAAGAGGTAAGTGACCATCACCYGAGGCAAAGGCCTGAGCCCATATCCTGGGGCAAGACCCACCTTCCCACCTCTCACCTGGCCCTCCCCCCGGGAGGCCTGTGCAGCAGGTGATGGTAATGGCCAGGGGGAGGAGGTGAAGGCGCTGGGGACCCCAGCCTCATCTTCTGGGAGTATCATCAGCTCCCAAAATACTATGTACACAAAAGTGCGTTATGAATGGAAGCCGCTGTGCTTGTGCTCTGGCCGCGGTTGTTTTGAACTTACTGAGCATTGGATGGCCTCATCCCACAGCTACACTGGAGAACGACTTTGTTTTTTCATGTAGAAGAACATGAKTTTAAAATAACATGTTTTCCATGTGCCGTTCTCAGACAGCCTATCCAGACAGGACCCCGCTGAAGTCCCCCAGGGTGGCGACATTGCGGATGCAGCCCTACCCGACTTTGTCTTGGGGCTGCTTTCAGGGGCTCCCCTGAGCTGGGTTCATTTCTCCCTGGCAGCTTCCCACAGAACCCACTGAGTTCTGCTTCAAGGATGGAATCAGGTGAGGGATCCTCAATGTCCCCAGAAGCTGTCACCAATGCCGGGCCTGGCAGCTCCTCCCTGGGGAAGCTTCGAGAGCTTCCTATTGGAATTGGCACCCACCCAGGGGATCCTGACAGCCCGGCTGCAGCAGGAGATGGCACTCCAGACACCTGCCCCTTGGGGGAGTCCAGAAGCATCATGAAGATCCCCAACCGGGACAGCGGGATTGACAGCCCGTCCTCCAGTATAACCTGTGACAGCTTCCCCTGTGAGGAGGGCCCCGAGGTCCCCCCAGGTCCCACGATGCTAGGGCTGCACTCTGAGACTGGTGTGGACAGCCAGGCGTTGCAGGACAGMCCCCAGGAGGAGGCTGACAGTGACGTGGGTGAGGAGCCCGACCCTGAGAAGAGCYCTGCGAGAGCTGAGGAGGACACCGGCCTGGCCCAGGTAGGCCCCTCTTCCTCCATCTCGGGTACGGTCTGTGGGGGCCCTCCTTGGAGAGGGTTTGAGATCTGTGGTCCATGACATCGGTGCCTTGTTTTCCAATAAGAAGCACACATGCAAGGGGAGGGTCYTGGGGTGGGGTCAGCTGGGAAAAGCCAGGCCAGCCCCACCTGAAACCTTGGGCAGCGACCTTAACCTTGAGCCTCAACTTCCATGCTGCATGGTGGGGCATCCCCCACCCTAGGATGGGGTGATGGTCAATCTTACTGGTGGTGCCACCCACAGATGCGAGCCTCAAGGAAGGCAGCAGGAGCGCCACCCATTTTCTAAAAGGGGAAACTGAGGCACGGGGAGCATAGTGTTTCCCCAGGGTCACCCACAGGGCATGGCTGAGGCTGAGTGCCCTGTGCTCCTAGAGATGAGGGCAAGCTGCCAAATGACCAGGTCCAGGAGGCATTTGGCCGGGTGGGGCCTGCTGGCTCTGGTACAGTTTTGCTGCTAACTGTGTGGGCTTGGCAGGTGAAAGGCAGCTAGCTGTGCCTAGGCCACTGTGAGCCAGCTCTGCAGAGGGAAGGCCGGGCCCTGTGTTCATACGGGTGTTACTATTCAGGTGGGGATGTGGCTCAGTGGCTGAGTGCCCCTGAGTTCAATCCCCAGACCAGGAGACAGCTGCCAGTGAAAACATAGTTTGATGACCATAGTTCCCAGCAGAAAGGGGCACAGCATGCCCCAGGGGCCACATGGGCAGCCCGAGGGCCAGTCAGAGACAGAGCGCGAGGAAGAACTGTGGGCAGTAGCCTTGCCGTGGTGAGCAGGTGCAGCATTCCTAGCTTGGAGAACTTCAGCAGGCTTTGGGGAAGAAGGCTCTCCCTGGTTCTCTGGTACCTGGCCCTGGGGTGATGAGCACCGGTGGGTAGTAGCCCAGAGTGAGATCCTCCCAAAGGAGGTGATGGTGTGGACTGGAGTTGGTTGGTTTGCATTTGTAAGGTGTGGTAGAAGGTGGCTCAGGAGGATCACAAGTTGGAGGCTAGCCTCAGCAACTTAGTGAGGCCCTAAGTAACTTAGTGAGAATCTGTTTCAACATAAGAATAAATAATAAAAAGGACTAGGGGTGTGGCTCAGTGGTTATTCATCCCTGGTTTCAATCCCCAGTACCAGAAAAAAAGGAAAGTCTCTAGTGCTTCCATTACCCGTAAGAATAACTGTTCGCTGGGCATGGTGGCAYATACCTGTACTTCCAGTGGCTTAGGAGGCCGAGGCAAGAGGATCAGGAGTTCAAAGCCAGCCTCAGCAACAGCGAGGTGCTAAGCAGCTCAGTGAGACCCTGTCTCTAAATAAAATATAATATAGGACTGGGGGTGTGGATCAGTGATTGAGTGCCGCTGAGTTCAATCCCCAGTACTAAAAAAAAAAAAAAAAAAGAATAAGCATTCACCATGCACCAGGTCCTTGGGGCTAGTATTGGTCCAGGAGCCCAGGATCCTGGGCTTTGTCCCTTGTTTTAGTCAACCTTCATCACTACAAATACCTGAGAAAATCAACTTACAAAGAGAAAAGTTTTATTTTGGCTGCTCACAATTTTAGAGGCTTCAGTCCATGATTGGTTGTCCTTTTGGTGGCCCATCTTGGCAAGATCACACCGTGAAGCAAAGCCAGGCAACTCATGGCCGGGGAGTGAAAGAGACCAAGAGGATGGGACTGGAGTCCCCCAATCCCCTTGCAGGCCATTTCCCCACTGAGCTAAAGGCTTCCCATTCCCCAAAGTTTCTACCTCCTCCCAGTAGCACCAGGCCAGGGACCAAATCTTTAACACACCAGCCCTTGAGGGACATTCCAGCTCCCAACCGCAGCTCTGCCTCACTCAACTTGGGTCCAGTTAGGAGACCTGGTGGGGGACAGGGGGTGACACAGGGGGTGACACATCAAGCTAGTGCACCAGGCTCTGCACTATGAGGAGTTAGCTGGAACCCGAGAGTCATAAGGGAAAGGCATTAGAAAAAGTTTAGGGTCACACGCAGCAGCACTCTTCTTGGCCCTGAGGTTGCTCAGATCTCAGTGGACATGTGAGGTCGCCTGGTCAGGTGTGAAGCTGCCATTCCCACAGGGACTGGAGGAGGGCTGGGGACCACTAGGGGATCAGGATGGCTGGGCTGGCACTCCTGGATTCATGAGGTTGAGCCAATTCCCAGACAGGAATTTCTCTGGGGCAGAATCTCCACCCATTTACTAAAAGGGGATGTTCTTCTAGGGTTAGCAAAATACTTGAGGCTCAATTAGACTTAAGCATTTAACACTTTGAGTTTCGGTGCTCCCTAAGTGCAGGGTGAGGCGTTGAGAAYGATAATTTTTTAAACATTTTGTAGAATTCACCAGTGATGCCACCTGGCCTTGGACTTTACTTTTTTGGGAAATTTTTGATTTAATGTCCTTATTCATTATTGATCTCAGATTTTCTATTTCTTCATGATTCAGTCTTTGTAGGTTATGTGTTTCTAAACATTTATTTCTTCTAGATGGTACAATTTGGGAGTGTATGATTGTTATGGTATTCTCAGGATCTTTTTACTACCATGGTATCAATTATAGGGTTCCCTCTTTCACTTCTGATTTAGTTATCTCTCTATATAAAGTTAATCTAGTTCAAGTTTTCTTAATTTTGCTAACCTTTAAAAAAAAACTTGGTTTTGTCTATTTTTTTCTATTGTTTTTCCATTCTGTTTCATTTATCACTGTTCTGATCTATACTATTTCCTTCCTTTAGCTAGCTTTGAGTTTAGCTTGCTATTCTTTTTCTAGTTTCTTGAAGTGTAAAGTTAGGTGGCTGCTTCAGGATCTTTTTAAAAAAATATTTATATTTTTAGGTGTCGTTGGACACAATGCCTTTATTTTATTTTATTTAATTTTATGTGGTGCTGAGGATCGAACCCAGGGCCTCATATGTGCCAGATGAGTTCCCTACCACAAGTGCTGGTTAATTTGTATATATCTGTGGATTTTCACTATGCTCTTGTTTTCTAGTTCTACATTATTATATTCATCCATGTATTTGCCTGTATTAGAGAACCTTGCTGTTTAYCATCCTTTCATTTCAACTTGAAGGAATCCTTTCATCTCTTTTTGTAGAGCAGGTTGAGTGCTAAAGAACTCCCTTAGCTTTTGTTTTTCTTTACCTGGGAAAGTCTTCATTTCTTTTCTATTTTTTAAAGGCAGTTTTGCCTGATGCTATATTCTTTTCTTTTTTCTGCTACTGGGGATTGAACCCAGGAGCACTTAACCACTGAGCCACATCCCCAGCCCTTTTTTGTACTATTATTATTATTATTTTTTTTTAAGAAGCAAGGTCTCACTCAGTTGCTTAGTGCCTCAATAAGTGGCTGAGGCTGGCTTTGATCTCGCAATCCTCCTRCTTCAGCCTCTAAAGCCACCGGGTCAGAGGCGTGGGCCACCATGCCCTGCTCTGATGCTATATTATTATTATTTTTTAATTATTATTAGATTATCATCAGTTTATTATAAAAGAGACACGGAAATTATTTACATGATGAAAGATTTCAGAACTTCAGTGAACTGGGCAGCTTCATAGGATGCCATTTCAACAGTGATTTGTTTCAGTCTACATACTTTCCAAGAATGTCACCATCTCTAAATAAGAAGTAATCCTTGTCATCTAGAACTACTATGGTGCCTCTGTACTCTGGGAGAAGAACTTTATCTCCAACTTTCACTCTAACTGGCTGAATCTCTCTACCCTTTCCTTTAGAGCCTGATCTCACAGCTACTACTGTTGCTTGCAATATTTTTCCTTGGGATTTTTCTGGAAGCATAATGCCTCCTTTGGTTACAGTTTCGGCTGCACCCCTTTCAACCAATACTCTGTCAAAAAGTGGAAGAAACTTTCTTTTGCTGCTGATGCAGAGACCCTGATGCTATAATCTTAATTGACAGGTTTTTGTACTTTCAGCACTTTTTTTTTTTTTTTTTGGTGTTGAGGATTGAACCCAGAAGTGCTTAACCACTGAGCCACACCCCCAGCTCTTTTTATTTTTTTTATTTTGAGACAGGATCTCACTAAGTTGCTTAGGCCTTGCTAAGTTGCTGAGGCTGGCTTTGGACTTTTGATTCTTCTGCCTCCACCTCCCAAGTTGCTGGGATTGCAGGTGTGCACCAACATGTTTGGCTCTTTCAATGTTTTTTTTTTTTTTAATATTTATTTAGTTGTAGATGAACATAGAATATCTTTATTTATTTTTTTGTGGCGCTGAGGATCAAACCCAGTGCCTCACACATTTGAGGCAAGCACTTTACTACTGAGCTACAGCCCTAGCCCTCTGTCAATGTTTTGAATTTATCATCCCACTCCCTTCTGGCCTGCGAATTTTCCTGGGGAATCCTCTGATAATCTCATGAAAGCCCCTATATATTAAATAATTGCTTTTTTCCTTGTTGTCTTTGATTTTGAATGTTTTGATTATAACATGTTTCTTTTAAAATTTTTTTTGGGGGGGCTGTTGTAGATGGACACAATACCTTCATTTTATTTATTTATTTATATGTGGTGCTGAGGATTGAACCCAGTGCCTCACACATGCCAGGCAAGTGCTCTACCACTGAGCCACAACCCCAGCCCTTTACAACAGGTTCCATGAGGTTCTCTCTTGATTTATTTTAGTTGAAGTTCTTTGAGCTTCTTGAATTTTTTTTTCCAAATTTGGGGACTTTCAGCCATTATTTCTTCAAAATATTCTCTGCTCTTGTCTCTTTCTTATCCTTTGTAGTTCCCACATGGATATGTTGGTCCATCTGATGGACATTCAGTCCTTTCTTTTTTCTTCTACAGTTTTTAATCCCTTTGTTATATTTTCATTTTGCTCATGCATCACTTCCTGGTTTTATTTAGTTACTTCTGTGTCCTTTTAGTTCATTAAGAACTTTTATAAAAATATATATTGATTTGTTTTTCTCAAGAAGCTCATAAATTTGTGGTTTTTAAGGGTTGGTTTGAGGTTTTTATTTTATTCCTCTGATTAGGCCATATTTCCCTGTTTCTTTGTATGCTTGTAATTTGGAGGGGTGTGTGTGTGTGTGTGTGCTGAAATCTGGGCATTTAAAAAACAATTTCCTCTCCCAATCTTTATGAAGGAAAAGTCCTTCACTAATTAGTCCAGTTAGAGGTCCTAGAACCTCTCAAACCTTCTCCAACCTATTGCCTTAGCATCTGCCTGCAGAACTGAAGCTCTCACAAACTGTTAGGCTTAGTTTTCAGTGACTTTCAAAGTCTTGTGCTGATCTCATTAGTTCTGCACTCAGATAAGACAGAGTCCAGTCCCTGGGGTGGCTGTCAGACACACCAGAACCATGGGCACATGTTTAATTCTTTGACTCTTGTCCTGCAGGAGGCCCTCTGGTATGGGAGGTTGCCTCCCAGTTGTTCCCTGCTGTGCCACATAGGGAGAGGAGCACTAAAGGTCACTGCTGTGGACTGAATGTGCCCCCCAAATCTACATGTTAAAACTTAATCACTCTAGTGATAGAACCAAGAAGTGGGGCCTTCGGGAAGTGAATAAATCACAAGGACAGAGCTTTTGTGGATAGAATCAAGGCTCTTACAAAAGGGAGGGAGGAAGGCAGGGGCTGTAGCTCAGTGCAGAGCACTTGCCGAGCACACCTGAGCCCTGGGTTCAATTTTCAGCACTGTAAAAATTAAGAAGTAATAAAATAAAAGGAAGTTTGTGGGTCCATTCTCTTCTGCTCTTCTGATATTGGAGGACACAGCATTCACCCCCCTTTTGACCTTTCATCCCTCTGTCACGTGGGGGCAAGCCTTCAAAGTCATCATTTTGGAAACAGAGACTGTGACCTCATCTGACACCAAACCTCATTATTGATCTTGATCTTGGACTTCTAGCTTGGGTAACTGTGAGAAATAGATTTCTGTTTTTTGTAAGTTCCCATTCTCAGATATTTTGCTATTGCAGTACAAATAGACAGGCATGCCAAATGCCACCAATTTTCCTACACTTTCCCCTGGAATCCCTTCTTGATTTTACAATTGTGAGTGCTGTGGCTTTTCAACTGGCCTTTGTATTTGTCCTAGAGGTTTGGTAGTCTGTATATTATTGTCAAGTCTGTGTTTCTATGGAGGAAGGAGGGTCTGCAACTTCTCAGACTGCCATCTGATATTGCTCGGCAATTACTTTTTAATTTTTTTTTTAACTTTACAGTGCTGGGGATTGAACCTAGGGCCTCACACATGCTGGGTAGACACTATACCACGGAGCTACATCCCCAACGCGGCAATATAGATTTTTCTGTGGTCACTACAGCTTTTTTGTAGTCAAAGCTCTAGGAATGGAGAGTCATCTCCGGAGTACAGCTGTTTGGAGGGGACTGGTTTGGGGAGGATTGTGCTTTTCCTGAATCCCTCCCTGGAAATAGCATCTGTGAGAACTGACACCGAATCCCAGTCCTAGTGGCCTCCTTTGGTCCTCTTGTCCCCTGGTCATCCTGGCACACTGCAGGTAACCCAGCTGCTTTCCTTCCCCTTGCAGTGTTCTGACCCGCAGAAGCTGTTCAACATCGCCCAGGAGCTCCTGCACACTGAAGAGACCTACGTGAAGCGGCTGCACCTGCTGGACCAGGTAGCCCACAGCTGAGGGGCCCGGCTTTGTCCACTTGCAGAATTCCTATGGGCAGTTTCAGAGACAAACTCTTCATCCTTACATTGATTGAACATTGCATTTGGAGTAAAAAATGCTAAAACTTTGAAAAATTTAAGTCCGGTCTAGAAACCTACGTTTTTCTTTCCATGCCTGTGGCTGTGGGGTGAAGGTTCTGCCCAACCACCTTTGGGACTCTTCTTGGTGGTTGCATGATCTGAGTATGTAAATGGCTGCTGGGCATTTTTCTGCGTAAATAAGTTGGGGTGGGAGTGCCACACATCAGAGTTCACGAGGTGACACGGGGCCCCTGAGCACAGGAAATAAAGTGCCCGTGGAAACCAAGACTTGACAGGGTGCATTGCTTCTGCTTGAATCTCAGAAGCCAGAGAAGGAAATCTTGACTTTTCATTTCTTGTGAGAAGGGGAACAGGAAGATGTCTTGCTCCTTCCCCAGGGACTGCCCCTGCCTCGCTCACAATTCTCAGCTCTAAATAAGCTTGGAACCAGTTTAATGACAAAAAAAGACAACAACTCTGGCATTCATTAAGAAAAACAGGGTGGGGACACTGCCCAGGCCCCCCCGCTGTGACAGATGCCTCTTGCGGTAACTGCCCACCATGGTCCGTGCTCCCTGGTGGACATGGGCTTCTTCATGCCCAGGTTTTCTGCACCGCGCTGACAAAAGCGGGGATCCCTTCGGAAGTCACTACTGGCATCTTCTCTAACATCTCCTCCATCTACCGCTTCCATGGTCAGTTCCTGCTGCCCGAGCTGCAGCGGCGGATCACGGAGGAGTGGTGAGTACCAGCCAYGGCCCCCCGGCTCCTTGTGCAAGAACCAGGCAGCACCTGGGGGGGCCTGTCTCGCGGTGGCCTGGGTGCCTCCCTTCTTGGCCTGGTCCTAGGTCCCAATCCCAGCCCCACTCTTCCTTGCTGGTGACCTTGATGGGCCACATAAGGTCTCCAAGCCTTAAATTTTGAGGAAACTGATGATACGAAAATGAGGGGATTTTAAGTCACAGGGATCCACGGAATTGAAATGAGACTCGATATCCAGAAACACAAGAGGGTGAACAAGTAGTGCTAGTGGGTTTTATTTTCCTTTCTAGCATGCACTGCACCTTGGCTTTGAAAAGGAAGGAGATTTCCTCCCCATCAACAGGAGATTATAGATCTTCCTCCTCGGTTGATCCTGCCCCTCTGTGACTTCTGCCCATTCTTAGCAAAGGCTTGGTTACAAGACACGATTAGTGACACATCACAGACGAGGCCCCTCAACCCGTCATTTCTCCTTGTTATGTGCACCCCCACCCCAAATTTGGGGAAACCTAAAGCTAGGCTTAGGGCCCCTGCTGTCCACCTCTTTCACAAGCCTGGCTTCCTCTTGGTRTCCCCAGAGACTAGGACCAGGGGACTTGGCTGGGGATTCTTTCACCTGTAGCCTAGGGGGGTGCTGAGTCGCTTTGTGAATATTCAGGACAGAGTCCGGCTGCAGAGCAGGATACACTGTGTCCCCCCCGTGGTCAGGATTGGGTGGGGCCTTGCTGACAAAGTCCTTGTGGGTGAGAGACAGATTCTCCTTTCATGCCACAGAGATTCAACCGTAAGGGCCTAACAGGAGCCTCCCCCACTCCCTTTCTGGTGCAAGGGAACCACCACTTCCCCACCCTCCCGTCCCCGAGTTGCTGGGCCTTTCGATCAAACCCACATGTATCCTTTCAAAGGAGCACCACAGCTAGGCCTTTGTGCCCAAGGCTTTTTTCTTTCTTTGTAAGTATTTACTTAGAATAAATCCCCAACAGAGAGCTCCAAAATCAAAGACTAGTAATATGCTTTTTTACTTCTCATGACTTATTCTCAAAGCCCCATCCAGAGGAGAAGGAAGTTTGTATGATGGTGCAGCGTGAAGGGCTGCTCCCTGGTGACTGTCGGCATTGGACAGAACCATCGTTTCTAACCTTTGCTCACTTAAAAGGTGTAAAGTTGATCCTCTTATGAACTGTGACCTGTCACCCAAGGGGTCCCCCTACTGCTCGTGCTCCTGTGTTTGGGCTCCGATTCTCAGCCTGAGCTGTTGAGGAGCTTCATAGACATCTTCTCCTCAAATGTCCAGTGACATGTTATATTCTCCTCTCCAAAACATAGGGGAGGAAACAGGCTCAGAGCAGGCGACCAATGTGCCCACCGTCACACAAGACAGGGACTCAGGTTGTTGCCCTTGCCTGCCCCGTATCCCCCTGTGCAGTTCATGGGTGAAGTTCATGTCCTTTAACCTCGGGAGGCCCCTCCCACCCAGGCTGCTTCTCTGATGACCCTCCTCCTCTAACAAGGGACACAAACCCCCGGCTTGGGGACATCCTGCAGAAGCTAGCCCCGTTCCTGAAGATGTATGGCGAGTATGTCAAGAACTTTGACAGGGCGGTGGGGCTGGTGAGCACGTGGACCCAGCGCTCGCTGCCGTTTAAGGACGTTATCCACAGCATCCAGGTAGGTGGCCRCAGGGTGTGGGCACAGACGTCCTCCAGGCTCGTGCAGCTGGGTGCATTGGGCGCAGAGAGAAAATCAGTAAAATTATGGGATGGGTCCTGGTGCTCTACAGACACTTCACTCTGACTCCCAGGGACAAATCGTCATTCCCATTTCACAGATGGATAAATCGTGGCTTAGCAGCACAGATGATTATTTGATAGAACCTGGATTCAGAGATCTGACTCCAAGTGTCCCTCGAGGTGTAGGGCAGGCATTTAGCAGGTGTCCTATTATCTTTTTCTTTGTCAGCAACAGCCTGTTTATAACCACCCTTGTCTCCCGCAGTGTTGGTCTTTTTCCTGCTGATTCACAAGGTTTTTGTAGGTTAAGAACCTCAACTTTTATCTGTCACCTTGACATGATTTACTTTTGCCCAGGAATCTTTGATTTATTAGCTTTACAGTGAGGATGGCCATATAGAATTTTTGGTTTTTAAGTACCTACATTCACCACAGGTACAAAAGGTAGCTTTTTAAAAAGATAGACCACTATAGTGTCCAGATGGATTGGGATGTGTGGGAAGAACCCAGGTTCATTTTTTGAATGAATGCTAGTCTCAACATCAGTAGTGACCCCGAGTGTGCATGCACACACACATACACGCACACCACACGCCTCACTGTAGCTTGGAGGGTTCCTGGGCCCTGAGTGCTCACCACTGGGTATCTGGAGTGGCCCCTAATACCTTTTCCCTAGGCTATGTGTCATGAGGTCACCATGGTCTCCTAGTGCCCCTGACTCAGAAGCAGAGTCAGTCCCCAGAAAAGACCACCATGTCCTCTCCCTGAGCCCCTCCTTTCCCCCTTTGACCTCTCTCCTTATACTTCTTAGCTGGCTCCTCCCTGGCTCTCACCCTGGCTGTCCCCACAGAACAGCCTCAACCAGCTGCATTTGCTGACCCAGCATCTCCCCCGGGACACTCTCACCACTGCCCAGCTCACATTGTCCACAGAAACAGCGACAGCCAGGCCTCCAGGGCAGACAGGGCCCATCCTGAGCGGGGTTTCTCAGAGGGTGGAGCATTCAGCTGGTGGAGGTGCCATGGTTTTTATGTCCTCAGAGGAGACCAGGACAAAAGTCCACTTTCCAGGACACAGGTTGCAACATGCTTTYGTTCCCAGGAAGTGTGTTCCCCTTAAAGTCAAGGTACCATCAATTATTCAGAGGGACCATGGCTGGGGTCCCCTCTGCTCCTCCCTGGCCCAACCTGCACATGGCCTGCGTGTCCTTCCTTGTCCTCATGCTTAAGTTTGCCGTTTTCTTTTCTTCTCTTTCCCCTACTCTGCCCCCTTCTCTTCTTCCTACATTGTCATCATCATTGTCATCATCATCTTAACACCATCATTGAGGAAGCTGACCTCCGTCTAAATTTGCATTGGCCCATCGATATCTGACTTTGTTATTTGGAGAAAGAACAGAAAAAAAATCGGGGTTCATTTGGTTTGTTCCCCAGGTTGCCGTCAGCCGTGTCTCCCCTCTGGGTCTCAGAATGCAGGAGGAGGGGAGGGATACTCTGGGAGCGTGCTTTCTTCCTGGGAGATGTGACACTACTCATGTAGCCACGCACCATGACAGTATGCGCCACGGAGCTCAATAAGCAGCTCCTTCCTGAGATGAAGACAGACACTGAGCCTGGCACAGGCTGCTGTCCCCCATCCACATTAGGCAGATATCGTCCCAAGCAACATCTGTCTGGGGACACTTGCTGGCCGTCATGGCCCACAGTCACCTGTTCCCACACCCTGGGCAGATCTCTGAACCAGGCAGGCTGTGGGAGGGCTCCACCCCTTGGAATCAGCAGGGTCCAGCCATTCTCTGTAGATGACATTGCCACCCCCCCCCAGGGACCTACACCATGTCTGTAGACATTGATGTTGTTCCTGGCATCTGGTGGGTGGAAGCCAGGGATGCTCTGCCATGCACAGGACAGCCCACAGAGTCTCCCACCCAAATGACCAGAGGCCAAGGCTGAGAAGCCCTGGAGTGGACAAAACAGKATAGCATCACAGTCAAGTTTCCTGTGGCCTCTGGAGATTTCCCTCTGTGCAATCCAAGGCATATTTAAAATTAAACATTTGTTTTTAAATAATTTTAAACATTTACAAAAAAAGTTGCAAAAATGACAAGTTGTTACAAACTGGTAGCATTTTGTCCTGTCCATCATCCTCTCTTTTTTTGAGTCTTTGAAGACAGAGTTATAGACAGTTAGCCTTTTCCCTTAAATGTGAATGAGAATGTTCTCCTGTGTCACCACTGAGCCACATCCCCACTCCTTTTATTTTCTGAGACGGGGTCTCACTAACTTGCTTACAGCCTTACTAAGTTGCTGAGGCTGCAATCCTCCTGTCTCAGCCTCCTGAGTCGCTGGGATGACAGGTGTGCACCACTGTGCCCGGCCACTCTTGTGTTTGTAATGAAAAAGTCTGTAGCACTCTGAGCAGCTCTAGGTGTGAGGAGAGATGCTGGCCTGATTCCCTGTAGGGAGAGGAAGGAACAGCTTTCTCCATCTTCCAGCCAAGGGGAGAGGAGGTCAGCTCAGACCCACGCATGAGCATGGTGTGGAAAAATCACTCTAGCCAGCAGGGGGCAGTCTTGTCCTGGTGTCCATTTTTCCATTAAGGGTGTGAGCTCTGGGCCTGCAGCCATCCCAGTCAGGGTTCTGGTCCTCTCTGAGCCTTAGCTTCCCCGTTATAAAGCGTGGTCGGTGGGGCTGGGGTTGTAGCTCAGAGGTTGAGCATGTGTGAGGCACTGGGTTCGATCCTTAGCACTACATTAAAAAATAAATTAAAAAATAAAGATATTGTGTCCATCTACAATTAAAAAAAAAAAAATGTGGTCTGTGCCAGTCGTGTCTTCAAGGGCAGACCGCTCCAGGCAGCCTCCTGGGTCTGTGGTGGCCAGCAGCAGGAGCAGGGCCAGTGTGGACGTGCATGTCCTCAGGGTGCCCCGCACTGCCCTGTGTCCCCGCAGAAGCAGGATGTGTGTGGGAACCTGACGCTGCAGCACCACATGCTGGAGCCCGTGCAGAGGGTCCCCCGCTACGAGCTGCTGCTCAAGGACTACCTGAAGAGGCTCCCCAGGGGGGCCCCGGACTGGAAGGATGCGGAGAGTGAGTGGAGGCGCCGGGAAGTGAGGGGGCCTGGGATGGGACAGGGACAGCTGCTGAAAGCCCTGGGGTGGGGGAGAGGGAGAGAGGCAGAGACACAGAGGGACAGAGGAGAGAGAGGCAGAGAATCTGAGAGACAGAGGGGGAGGGAGGGAGAGACCGAGACAGAAACAGAGGACGGGGAGAGAGACATACAGAGAAGGGGAGATAGGGGAGAGAGAGAGAATCAGAGAGACACAGAGAGAGAAGCCCTTGAGGAAGTGACTTAGTGAATCTCCTCCAGCAGACTTAGGAGGGGGACTTATTTATTATGTGCTGCCAAACGCTGGTGCCATCCAGAGTGTAGGCCCCCACAGGACCTGGTGGGCCTGGTGAGGGCCGCTCCTAGTCCCCTAGCAGTGACCGTTGTGGCTGGTGGCAGACAGGACAGGAGTCCAGGCAGGAGAGTGGGGTCCCACGTGATGTGGCCCCAGCAGGCTGCCAGCAGATGAGGTGTATTTGCAGGGCCACCCTGTGCCTGGGCCGGGTGTCTGGAGCAGCCTGGGCACCTTCAGAAGGGCTGARTGTGGGAACCTCCCCACGGAGCAGCCACCCACGGCTCCAGAGTCAGCCTGTCCTGTAAGTGTGCAGAGCCGCTCTGTGCCCAGGGTGACTTGGTTCCCCCTCCCGCAGGATCCCTGGAGCTCATCTCCACAGCGGCCAACCACTCCAATGCTGCCATTCGGAAGATGGTGAGTGAGGGCCTGGGGGTGGTAAATGGCAGAGCAGTGCAGGAGCCAGGGCCGGGGGGCTGTTTTAGAGAGCACATCTACCCTGTCCCCAGGTGGCCCCCCACAGGGCACCTCATCCCTGCTCCAGGTGGGCCTCCTCGGGGAGCACCTTCATCCCCTGCCCCTAGGTGGTCAGGGGCCCTGTCTCGTGCTGGACAGGCCTGTTCCTCACTAGATCTGTGATCTTCAGTCAGTTATTTAGTGCTTGCCCCTTACCTTCCCCATCTTTGAAAGGGGGGCCCCGACAGAGCTTTTCTCACTGGCCACACGAGGATTGGGAGAGTCACTGTTCATTCTGTGTTTAAACCACGACCTGGCCAAATAAGAGTCAGCTGTCGTCATTGTCATCATTAAATCACTCATTCATTTCCTGATAGTGTATTTCAGTCTCTTTCCCTGGCTGKCTCTGTACATGCCCAGCTCTCCAGTGGTTCCAGGTATATACCCAGCCCCCCAAATATGCACCAAGTGTGTGCCCAACCCCCAGCACCTACCAGGGACMTACAAAGCTTCCCTAAGACACACCAAGTGCACACCTAGTTTCCCTAGTACACACTATGTACACATCCAGCCCACTCTATTACATGCCAACTGTATACCCCAGCCTCCCTAATACACATCAGGTGCACACCCAGTTCCCAAAATACATGCCAGGTGTATGCCTTGCCTCTGTGGTGCATACCAGGTAGGTGCTTAGCCCCCCTTAGAACAAGCCAGGTAGGTATGCCCAGCCAGCTCTAGTGCAGGCCCCAGGAGTGCCATGCCCAACTTCCCTTGAATTTGCCATRTATAAGACCTGCCTCCAGTACATGCCAGGTGTAAGCTCATCCCTCCTGGTACATGCCAGGTATAAGCCCTGCCCTCTAAAAAACTAAAGGTACACACCCAACTTCTCTGTATATATACCAGGGACCTGCGCATCCCTATTTCCTGCAAGGTCCTCAGCCCTGCCCTGCTGTTCCTTGAGAATCCCCCACATCCTTGCTGTGTTGTTTGGTCCACTTGCATTTACCTGCATCCATGCCAGAGACAGAAGGGCAAGCCAAACTCACCTGAGCCTAGGTGTGCAGGCCAAGATCATTCACGTCCAACCACAGGAGCGGCTGAGGCATGGCAGCCCCAGACTGTGTTGCTACTGTCAAGTGCCGTCAGGCTCAGCCCTACCTTCTGCTGCACTGACCTCCACCTCAGAGCTGAGACCATGAGCTACTGACCCTGTCCCATCACACCTCAGGGTTCTGCCTGGCCATGTACCACCCAACCAGTGCTTAGGAAAGGTGACATGTGGATTGAGGCCACTAAACTGACCTCTTCATGTAATTATCTGTAAACTGAAGATAATCATGGTGCCCACTTTACACAGTTAATGTCAGAGTTAAATGAGCTAAACACATAGCAAAGGAGGTAGCTGTTATTTATTTATTATTATTATTATTATTTGCGTGATGAACATCTGTTCGTCCTTTAATACCCAACTCAAATGTCCCCATGTCTCCCTCCCATGCCATGTCAGCAGGCCCATTACCCTATTGGGATCTGGGTTGAAGTTGCAGTGAAGACTCTGTTCCCCTGGGTCCCCAGCAGCCCCTGTAGGCTTACTCCTGCCTGAATTCTGTGTCTCTTGAAGGAGAAAATGCACAAACTCCTGGAGGTGTACGAGCAGCTGGGTGGAGAGGAAGACATCGTCAACCCGGCCAATGAGCTGATCAAGGAGGGCCACATTCAGAAGCTGTCGGCCAAGAATGGCACGGCCCAGGACCGCCAYCTCTTCTTGGTGAGTCCAGCTGCCACCCCAGCCATAGAGCCCCTCACCTGCCCCTTCAAGTCCTGAAAAGAACTGACAGGGCTCAAGGACATGGCTCTCCTGTGTCCTCTCCTGTCAGGATTGAAGACATCATCTTTTGCCAGCGGCTCAACCCTGTTTGCTGCAAAGATCTCCTATTTTTATCTCTTGCATCCATCCCTGTCCTCTGTAGGGATTGGGCCGTCTCCAGCAACCAGGAGAATGCAAACTGGAGCCTCACGTTGTGATTCCAACTATCCCAGAACCAAACTCTGATTTAGAGGAAAGGGGAAAGACAGGAAGGAATTACAGCAAGAGATCCACTCCAGGCCCCTGATAATTTCCTCTAGCTTCTCTTCTTCTTGAATCAGCAGTTAGATCTTTGCAAGTTCTTTTCTCTAGAAATTCACATTCAGCAAAACTCACCTTTGCTGTGCAGTTCTGACTTTGCACAAATTCAGTTGATGTTACCATCATCAAGTTACTGAAGAATATGAGCACTGTCCCCCAATTCCCTTGTCCTGCCCCTGTGGAGTTAAGTATTCCTGCAGCCTCTGGCTGCCATCAACCTGTTCTCAGTTTCTATAGCTTCACTTTTCCAGAACGGCACATAAATGCTCTGAGACAAAGCTGGTTCATTCAACAAGCGCATTGCTGGGTTTCGTTCATGTTTGTGTATCAGTGTCTTATTCAAAAGTTTTGCTTTCTTATTACACAATTAGCTCATGTGTCTGGTGGACAAATGAAAAAGTAGGAATGGGACAAAAATAAAGCTATTGTCCACAATCATCTCAAAGATAGATGTAACCATGGCTAAAATGATTGCACACATCTTTTTTTTTTTTCAAATAGGGTTTTATTAAGTTGCCCAGGCTGGCCTCAAAATCACACTCCTCTCACCTCAGCCTCTTGAATAACTGGGATTACCACCTTGCCTGTCTCAATTTATTAACTTTTTGTTTATTTAAWCTCCTTTGAGGTACTGAGAATCAAACCCAGGGCTTTACACATTAGGCAARTCCTCTGCCACTGAGCTACACCCCAGCCCCCCTCTGCATCTCTTAAAAAATATACTTTACTTTTTGACCTTAAAGAAAAGGGCTGGAGTTGTGGCTCAGCGGTAGAGCGCTTGCCTAGCATGTGAGAGGCCCTGGGTTCGATCCTCAGYACCACATAAAAATAAATAAACAAAATAAAGGTATTGTTTCCAACTACAACTAAAAAAATAAATATTAAAAAAAAGGAAAGAAAAAGAAAAACTTAGAAGGAGCAAGTGTCCTGTGGCCACTCACCATGTTGTCCCTCTTTCAGTTCAACAGCATGGTCCTCTACTGTGTGCCCAAACTGCGACTCATGGGCCAGAAGTTCAGTGTCAGGGAGAAAATGGACATCTCTGGTCTCCAGGTGGGTGAGCCCCTATCTCCCAAGCCTGCTCCCCCACTGGGGGTGGGGCACAAATAGGAGTGGGGACTCAGGCTCTGGCCACCAACTCTATATGTAATCAAAGAGTGGCTAGGACATCATCTTGGCCCTGTCATCTTGGGCTGGGTGGGCAGGGTTCCTCACTCTGGGGCTGGGTGGGCAGGGTTCCTCACTCTCTGGTTTGGCCCATCTGCCTGGTCCCTGCTGGCCCCATGTTGAATGATGGGCTGACACAGGAGGTGATTGGAATCTCAAGTGCACAGACTCAATAGCTGCAGGGGTTGTCACCTAAGGCCAGACCTCAGGGCCTCATTTAGAGGCCCAAAGGTGATGCTTAGGTTATAGGAACAAATCTGAGGTGGATCATGGGTCTGCTTCCCTGGCCTGGACCCTGGCCCTGATTTCTCTCCTTTCCTCACCCTCTTGGAGCCAGCAGAGGGCTCACAGGTGCCTGTGTGTGCTTGCTATACCCTGGTTCTGTGAGCCTGTTCCATGTCTCACGGTGGCAGGTGGAATAGATGCTGTCCCCTGTGGGGAAGGCTTTGAATTAGCCAGAGCTCCAAAAATATTGGCTACATGAAAGTGTTTAATCGTTTCCAAAGTAAAGTTCCTGGGTGAGGGAAGAAAAGTAAAATTTTTCTTAAATGACATCAAAAAATAAAACCCCTTCTTTCCTTGAAATTCTCTGAATCTAGGTTAAGAAACCCAACTATTACAAGTGGCTAACCAGAGAGGGGGAAAATACCTTTTTCCCTAGTTAGAAGCAACCATTTTCCCAGTGTTTCTCTATAAGAAATCAGTCCTGATAATGAATCTGATGTGTTAATGCAGTTCTCAGCCTGTGGCTGGGAGAGTCCAGAGGTTCTGAGCAGGGTCCAGAGTCTGTATTCCTTAAAGCCACCAGCTGGCAGGTGYAGGGAGGAGGTGGATTCTGAGGGGACTGAGGACCACAGGGACCACCAGTTCTGTTCTGCCACTGTGCTCTGTGGTCTGGTGCTGAGGGCGGATTCTGAGACTCYAGAAGGAAACAACACTATTTCATCCACTCTATCTGGGCTCATGCTCTTCCATTTTCGTCTTTACACTGAGGATGCACCTGCCCACATGGACTCAGATRTCTGTAAGGGGGCTCAGGCCTGCCTAGCTCTTCTCATAAGATCCTCAACCCCCCTAAGGAGTGTACCTGCTGCAGGGAGGTGGGGYCTGGAAGTGCTGGTGGGAAAGGCTGGGCTGGGACTGGCTGGGGGCCACCTCTAGAGGAGGCTGATGGGCAGATAGGTTTGGTCAGGCATGTGATCAGCCATGTTCCAAGCACAGGGTCCCAGCCCTCTTTGGGCAGGGCAGACAATCCAGTATCCCCCTTGGGTCCCCTCCTGCAGCAGCTGTCAGCAGCCACCATGACCTATCGCCTCTGACATCTCCCTAGGGAAAAATTTCAAAGATGATTTTCCATGTGAAAAAAAAAATTTTGCATGTGGCTGGTGCTGAGGARGAGCTGGAATGACGGGCTTGAGTTTGTTTATGTTTTGTTCTTTGTTCTTTTCTCCTGTTCCTGCAGGTGCAGGATATCRTCAAGCCAAACGCAGCACATACATTCATCATCACAGGAAGAAAAAGGTCCCTGGAGCTTCAGGCCCGGTATGGCTCTGGCCTCCCTAGTGTCTGCTGCGCTGTGAACTTCTTTGACCTCATTGTCCAAACGGTGTATTTTCCTAAATGCAATAACCTTTCAATATATTTWWATTTTTTTTCTTTTATCCACAATTCAACGTTTTACTACACCAAGGGGAGGTCAATAAAAATTAAGCCTCTGCCCAGTTCCTGTTCCCCAGGCCCGGCAGACATTCTTAACYCTTGCTTAAGGATCCTTCTGGAAGTTTCTACACTCACATACTTTTCAAGAATTTTAGGGGCTGGGATTGTGGCTCAGTGGCAGAGTGCTCCCCTAGCATGGGCGGGACCCGGGTTCGATCCTCAGCACCACATAAAAATAAAGGCATTGTGTTGTGTCCATCTACATCTAAAAAAATAAATATTTACCAAAAAAAAAAGAATTTTATATCAGGATTATTTTTTTCAGTCCTGGGAATTGAACCCAGGGCCTTGCACACGCTAGGCGAGTGCTCCGTCACATAGCCCCATGTACACTTTCAAATCACCTCTCCAGATGGGATAACCACAGATGCTATTCCCGGATAGCCTGGACGGCATCTTCCATTTTTCACTAAATTTTTCAGGCATCGTCCCCTATCCTCACACCATTTTCTAAAGCAACATAATTCTCCCTCATCATCATTAACAGGTTCCCATGGATAGGTCCCTGGACCTCCCTGGATCTCACCCTGGCAATTGGTGACAGTGTTCTCATGCTTAGGATTTTGTGTGTCTGTGTCATTGTATCCATCTGATACATTTCTGACAAYGTTGCTGGTTAAAGTGCAGTGTGTCTGTTCTGAATTTCAGAGGCTGTGGTCCCATTGCCAGGCTTGTGTTGTGAGTGTGTGGCAGATCCAGCCTCCCACACCTCACCCCTGACTTGAGAGTCTGTAACCATCTGCTAAGGCCCAGGGAGGGGTGGGTTGACTGGCCTTGCTGCAGCTGCTCTGAATGGCCAGCCTGGTCCTACCTGGCCAYGATTGCTTCAGGCCCTGAGAGCCAACCTTCCACGCCTCAAGCCTCAGTTAGGAGAATGAGTGGCTGGTGTGTGCGCAGGGCGGAGAGAGACTGGCGGTCTACAGTCAGTCTCCAAGACCAGGTTAGTAAAATACTATTCTTGTTTTTATAGGACAGAAGAAGAGAAGAAAGAATGGATTCAGGTAAAGCTTCTAAATTTTTGAAATAACCAGATCCCCAAGTTATTGAGCAGTGTGACCATTTCCTGTTGGAACAGAGAAGGTGGCTCTGTGACCATGTCCCCCACCGCCCATTGCTTCTCCCAGTGTTCCGCCCCTTGAACTCAGGTAGTGACTGGCGTGTCTTCATAAGCACCTTCAGATGCCACAAGACTTTCAATCCACTTGCCACTTTGAACTCCTCCCCCATAAATAAGTAGCCGTAAATGGGCCCAGAGGGGCTGCAGGTAAGTGTYCTCCTTCAGAGGGGGTCTCCGTGGTCCCAGTGGCTCCAAGGAAGAGCCCATGGTCCAGGCTGCCCTTCAGACTCTGTGGAGGTGCATCCAGGAGGGACCAGCTTGCCAAGCCTTGCTTAGCAGCCCCATCTGTGGGACTAGCTGCACCCCCAACTCACATTCATTGAGGGGAAATAAAATGGTCACAGGCGTGGGCAGTGTTCCATGACACCCAGACCCCATCCTGGAGGACAGAGGCAGGCAGATGCCCCCCACAGTGTCCAYGTCCTCCTCAAGCTCTGACAGCCCTCTGGCTCTGCTCTGGGTCCAGGTCATTCAGGCCACCATTGAGAAGCACAAGCAGAAGAGCGAGACCTTCAGGGCGTTCAGCGGTGCCTGCAGCCTGGACGAGGACTCGGGCCTCTGCCCAGATTCCCCGGTGAGTCAGAAGCCTGTGCCAGGAGGGTGGGGATGGCTGGCTGCCCAGGAGAGAGGGGCAGGCATCCAGGAAGGGAGCTCAGACGTGTGTTCACCTGCCTGCCCTTGACGGAGTGCCCCCTGCAGCCTGCTGGGCCCCACAGTCTGGGGGTCCGTGCCTGTGTGGAAGAAGTACCTGATTGTGTTTTGCCATCTGCATGCGAGCCCTGTGCGTGGGTCACTGTCATCGCCATCATCACTGAGCCCCYGTGCCCTTCCTCTATGCCACTGTGACCAACCCAGGATGTCCAATGGCTGCAGGCATCTTTTTGCAGTTGTAAATTCTCCCCTAATGCCCTCATGCTCCGGGAAATGTCAGCTCAGAGCCCTGTGGAGAGAGCACTGAGGGCAGCTCTTCTGATTCCCTGGGGAGCTGCCCTGGGGGACAGGGGGTAGACTCCATGTGGATTTGGGTCAGTGCAGGAGGCCTGCTGCAGGGTCTCCACTGAGTAGCCAGGAGGAAAAGACAGGGCTGAGGCCAAGGCAGAGCCTGGCCATCCCTCCTATCTGGGAGAGAAAGTTGAACCAGGAGGTTGATCTCRGCCTGCTGCTAGGAAGGCCTGGAAGTGTCTGTTCCTGGGCAGTGTCCTGGGTGGGGGCTAGGGGCATAGCAAGGACCCCTGGGAAGAGGAAACCTGATGCCCTGGGTCCAGGCTGCCCTTCAGACTCTGTGGAGGTGCGTCCAGGAGGGACCAGCTTGCCAAGCCTTGCTTAGCAGCCCCATCTGTGGGAMTAGCTSCACACAGACTTTATGAGGCTTTGCTGATTCTTTCTCTTGCACCTCCTACCGCCATGCACAGAGGTGCTGAGTTTGAGGAAGTGACCCCCTGCTGCACAGAACATGCAGCCGTGTGGCCTTGGAGTCACCTTACATTCAGCCTCTGAATTCCTTTCTAGATGGTGAGCACAAGCTCCCTGGAGCCTGCATTGGTGACCGATGGCAGTGGGGGTGCCATAGGGGTAAGTAACGCACACCCAGCATTCAACAGGGGCAGGAGGTGTCAGGGGTCAAGCAAAGCTCAGAGGTCAGCCTGCCCCTCCCCCCAGTGTGTTCAGGGCCRGGGTGTGCAATTGTGAAGCTATGTCTGAGACCAGGCTCTGGTGACTTGGATCCTGGAGGTGGTCACTGCTGGGGCTCTTGGTAGAGGCYGCCAGGGAGTCTGTTGGTGGTTGTCACGTGGCTGTGTGCCTGTGCACGAATTCTCTGAGCTCTACACGAACATTTGTGCTTGTTCCGTGTAAATTTAGGCCTTAAGAAAACATGTCATCATACTGAACCCAGGTCCAGAAGATCAGCCACGGAAAAACCAATGTCAAAGAGGCGAGTGTTGGGGAGAAAGAAAGGCTTTATTCAGCCGCCAAAGAATGGAGAAGTGGGGACTTTGCTCACAACATAGCTTTTCCATTCCAGGAACTTGAGGAGTTAGAGATACAGACTAGGAGGAGTAACAGGACAGTGGGCTAGGCTTTTAAGAGAAGGACTGTTCTCGTCTAAATACCCTGGAGGAACTCTGGTGCCACCTCTTCTTACTCCTTTCATGGTTTGGTGTTTCCAGTCAAGGTGGCTGGCAGGTGCCCTTAGCCTTGAAGGAGGGAGGGGGAGAGAGAGAGAGAGAGAGAGAGAGAGAGAGAGAAAGAGAGACCAGGCAAGTCTACCCTACATTGTAGTTTTGGACAAAACACTTTTCAAATGACCAGCATGTCCACATCGAGAGCTGAGTATAAAAATCTGACCCAAAGGTTAAAATGGAACAAAGGGGAGAGGCATTACATGAAGGCGGATGCCAAGGGTTCTCATCTTGTCCAGTCTCCCACAGAACACGTGCCAGGCCTGGGTGAGGAGTCAGAGTTTTCAGCGGAGGCTGCTTTATGGTCCCTGGAAAATAACCTGGGCGGCCATAATCACAATAGTCCACATGTCAGAGCTGTTACCTACCAAAAAAACCTACTGGGAGACTAATAAYGATCGCCCAGCTGTGTGACCTCCAGAATTAGTGATTTTAAGTCAGCTAAGAGCAAGCGAGGCTAGCAGGTTTCTTTAGGTTCCCCCTGTCATGTGGCAGCAAGGTACCAGGTCCTTAGGAGGACCCCAGGAAAGCATCCTGGCCTCAGCCCTCACCCTAAGCTGGTGCTCTCACCTCTTGCCTCCTGTGTTCTCATCTCCCTGAATTCAGAGCAGCCCCCAAGGGTGACACTCAGGGCCAGGACTCCCCGGAGACCTTGGAGAGGCCCCTCTCCCTCCATTTAATGTGGGAGATTAAAGAAGCGCAGTGGAGTCCCCCAGTGACTTCCTGCTCCAGTGAGCACCAGCACYTGGAGCCATGTCATTAACTGGGGCCCGACACTCACTAACACTGATGCCACAGGGAGCCCAGGAGCACCCTGGGTGGCTGCTGCCACCAGAGTGYTGGTAAGGCCATTCCTAGGCACCTTGCTGGGTCCTGCTGTTCTCCGGGCTCAGGTTGGCTGTCCCCAGCCCCAGCCTAGACATGGGCTCCTCCCCTCCCTGGGGGTCTTCGAGACACCGCCACAGAGGACAGCCCTACATGCTCTGCACACCTGCCTCGCTCCCCGTACTTCCTCTCCGTCTCCCTGTCTATCCTCCTGTCTCTCATGTCTGTCTCTGTCTCTCTTTCACACACCCCAGACGTCTCACTGCTCAGGGACAGGTGTGGGCCTACCTGGATGAGGCCCAGGCCAGCTGAGGACTCAGCCTGCCCACTCATGGCCAGCCCTTGAGGTCTCTGGTATCCCAGTCCTGTTGCCACTCTGGAGTTGTGTCACGGCCAGTCCCACTGTGGGGGAGGAAGCAGGTTCAGGGGAGTGCCATGTGTTGGCCCTGAAGCAGATGTCAAGGAATCCCCGTGGGGACAGGGCCACCTGGTGGTGAAGAGCAGGGAAAGGCTGGGAGGAGAGGCACATACCTCTTTGGTAGGGTGACATCACTTCCCACCTCACGGAGCAGTGTGCAGCCCTGGCCAGGTAGGTCTGCCTGGGTGGCCTGGCTGGTGTCATCCCCTTCCCTGCGACCTGAGCTTACCAGGTCTCATGGGGTGTCTGGATGGGCGTCAGACAACCCTGTGGAAGTTCCTAGGGAAGGCTGGGGCCTTTCAGGGGTGGGACGAGGAGGCGAAGGGGGAAGCTCAAGACAAGCAGGCAAGAGGAGAGACCCCTTCCTCAGTGGCACTGCTGCCTGCCCACACAGCAGGCATCCTGGGGGTCAATTCTGTTGAAACTGAAAGTCAGAAAGTCAGAGGGTGGTACAGGAAACCAGCAGGGAAACGAATGTCTAAGCTCCCAGCTGGCTGCCTGGCTCAGCTCTTGTCTGGTTGTACCTGCTTCCTGCCCTGCTCCCTGAGATGCCCTGGACTCCCTTGCTCTGCCAGGCCCCAAGCCTTTGCCCCTTTGTGTGCTCTGCCCACACTTATTGTGTGAATCAGCCCATGGGCAACTATTCATATTGCTCAACGGTGTGAGTGAGGCTGGTGGTACCCAGACCCATGTGGTTCCTGGTCCCTTTCCTGGAGGATTTATAGGGATGTATGGGAAGCAGTGGGTACTTGTGGGTGTGTGGCTGCACCCACAGACTGTCCTGCCAGAAGGGTGCGTGCTCACAGTCAGCAGGGGACTCCACAGCTCACATAACTGTGTGCGAACACTCCCAGGCAGCCCACTGCTTCATGAGGTACCCTGGACTGGATCCAGTCTTCAGCCTGGGATGGGCCTCAGGAGGCATCACTGGTCACTGAGGCATATGAAAGCCACTTGTTTAGTGCTAGGGGTTGAATCCAGGGACACTTTACAACTGAACGACATCCACAGCCCCCCACTTTTTTTTCAGACAGGTTCTTGCTGAGCTGCCAAGGCTAGTCTCGAACCTGCCATCTTCCTGCCTTGGCCTCTGGAGTAGCTAGGATTGCGGGCACCCTGGGAAGCCACCAGTTTCTTATTTGTGCTACTTTCCCTGGGGCTGAGCCCCTACGCCATGGAGATGGGACCCCCAAGGCCCTAGAGATGGAGAAAAAGCAGAAGTGGGTGGGGATGTGGTCAAGGAAGCCCTGGGTGAGGAGGACTGGGTTGTTTGTAGGAATAGCCACGCTTAGGGCTGGCCCAAGGGGCATTGGCAAGGGCTAACTGGGGGTCAGTGCCCAGACCAGAAGTGTTCTAGCTGGAAGGAACCAGAAAGGTCATGTTTTAAAATGGTTTACCCTGCAGAAAGACACAGACTCAGAATTGGCCAAGGATTGAGGCCTCAGGCAAGTGTTAACCTTCTCCAGCCTCAGTTTCCCCCGGCAGGAGAGATCAGGGAAACTGTTGGGTGCCTAATATAATAGGCGCTTCAATGCCCRCCCACCTCCTTACCTCAATCCATGTCTGGCATCTCCCTGGGTAAGACTGTGGTCACTATGGTACTCGTGGCCAAATGACTGCTTGGTCTACCTCACTTGCCTTCTCCTGCCCACGCTCAGCCTTCTGCAGGTTCTATAGCATTCACCCCATGACAGCCAGGTTCTTGGGGTCACAACTGCAGTTCTGTTCTCCTCATCTTTGTCCCTTCACCTGCACCAACCTGGGGCCTGCCCCACCTCCAGCAATAGGCCTACAGCTGAGGCATCCCTGCCCCAAGTAGGTATCACTGTGTGTTTCCCATGGGTGTCTCCACCCCCTCCGCATCCSCAGCAGAGCTGAGCTGAGCTGAGCTTTGGGTGAGACCCAGGATGGCTCAGGGTACGTCTGTCGACCTGCACTGAGCAAACAGGGTGGGACATATATACGCACAGTGGGCATTTACAAGGTTCTCAAAAGAAAAATTTAATTCTGACACCGAAGAGTGATCTTTGCTCCAGAATTCCAAACTTAAGCTTTTTCTTAGCCTATGTAGAAAGGAAAATGAATCTACCCATGGTACAGTGGTTTCATTTCCTGGGCTGAGATGTCTTTAGAGGTACTGTCCCTCTACGACCCTCTTTCCAAAGAGAAGCCAAACCCCAACCAGGAAGTTTTGTAAGGGGCCCCGCAGAACTCAAAGCCTTCCTCATTCTGCAAAAGTCCCCTTGTGTCCACAGAAGCTCTAAAAGTCAGAGTGCAAAAGGTCCCAGGGTGCCAGACCTACTGTGGGTGGTGACACCAAGACCCAAGGCACCAGCAAGGACCCCACCCTGGCCACCCTTGTGCCAAGGACTCCCTCACAATGCGGGACTTGCCTTTCCTGGAGGAGGCCCACCCTGTGCTCCAGGAAAGAGCCATCCCAAGAGGAGTAGAGGGGCCCGGYCTGGCTTCTGCTGGCCGCCTCCTGTAGGAAAGACCCTGTGCYGTGCCCTTGGCTTGTGTCCACCTGGATTTCCCATGCTGTGTCTTTCCRCTGTCTGATGTAACTGATGTGACTCCATCAGGGCCACTGCTTGGGGTCTGAGTCTGTCTTATGGAGTTCTCCCCCCAGTTCCGGGATGTGCAGCTAACTCCAATGAAGAAGAACTGCTTAGGGAACAGCCCTGTTGGCCCTTGGTGGAGACCAACTTCTGGGTCGATGTTGGCACATTTTGGGTGGTTTGGGCRGAGTTACTTGACCAGTTACTTTCCAACGTCCTGGAAAGACGTGGGTCCAGCTTTCAGACATCCTGACACCTGTGCAGAGAATCTGAGCCTTTTCCTTGCGTCAAACTGCCTGGTAACCTCATCAAAGAGGGGAGTGTGGCTGACCAGTAGACCCATCCCTGGCCACACAGGGGGCTTCCTCCCCCTCTGGCCACCTGGTCACTGCAATCTTCAAATCAAACCAGATCTCTGTGTTGGGGAACTAGTGTGGTCAGGGGCAGAGCCTCATGAGAGATGGGCTATGGGCCTCAGTATGTAGGAGCCAGGAAGTGCTAGGGCCCCTGTCCTAGGGCTTGGCTTAGCTCTATGGGCTGACCATGGCAGACTTGCCTGATGATGTCCCCAGCCCTGAGTAGGCCTCCTTGCCCTAGGAATTTTCTTCTGAACTTTGGCTGGGGCTGGGCCTCCACTCATCCTGGGGGCTGAGCTGTTGGCCACCCGCCCCAGCATGTCACAGCCTTCCCTCCATCCCCCGATTCCCYGATGGCCCCACAGCTTCCTGGGTTCTCAGCTGCCTCCTGGGTGCCATGGAAGGGTCCTCTACCCTAGGTCCCTGAGAGTCACAGGTCCGAGCTGTCTGGCCACCTGACTGCCAACCACTCCTTCCACCTGGGCCTTTGATTTCTCACCTGAAGGTGGGCAGGGGACAGAGGCTGCAGAGCCATGGCAGACCCCGGGGATGGCCCCTTCCTCTATGCTGTCCTTTTCCTTCTCACTGTCCGTTCCTTGCCCTGGGCCTCAGTTACTCACTCCACCTGACAAATGAGGAAATTGAAGCTCAGAAGAGAAGTGACTCATCCAGGGCCTCTTGGCTGATGAGGGCCAGGGCAGGAGCCTGGGGACTGTCACTGGTCATAGTCAGACAGGGAGACTGAGGCTCAGCTGCAGCCTCGGTAAAGCTGCTCCTGTCCTCCGTGCCACCAACCTCTCTGGGAAGTTCAGGTAGCATTGCAGGAGACAGAATGGGGAATYGAGCCCTTGAGCAGGGCCTGGGCTCCCCGGTTTCCTCTTGTGTGCTCCCACACGCTCCCCCACTGATACACAAGCACACACGGATGTTTCAGGCACGTGGCCGAGGGAGGACCTGCCTGAGTGCCCAGTTCAGAGCTGGATGAAAGATGGACTCAGAATCTCCAAGAGCTGCAGGGTTGGAGGTGGGGACACCCCGGTCCCTGGTGCCACATGCCATCTGTGCAGACTGCCATCTAGTATGCACCATTTCCCTCCAGCCTTGGCTCCGTTGATATTTTTTCTCAGACACACCAGATAGTCACTGGCCGAGTTGTTCCAAACATAAAGTTCTTGATCCATTTGGAATATTGCTTGATGGGATGGGATGCACTGGGGTGGACCCTGGGGGTCAGCGCAGGAAGGGGGATCTGGCCTCCTTGACTCTTTAGCTCATTCCACTCCTCAATGGGGCAGCGTGCTGCAATACATTCATGGAAGCTGATGGCACCGTGTGTGTCTTTGTAGCTCGAGTCCAGAAAACTCTCCTCGAAGGCCAAGCGTGACAAGGAGAAGCAGAGCTGTAAGAGCTGCGGTGAGACCTTCAACTCCATCACCAAGAGGAGGCATCACTGCAAGCTGTGCGGGGCAGTGAGTGCGGGCGAGAGGGAGGGAGGGGCTTCGACACCGAGCAGGGGTCCCTTGCCAGGTGCTCACAAGTCCTCAAGGGCAGGAGCTGAGCCCTGCCAGCCAGCTGCAGATGCGGCGCATGCGTGCAACTGGTGAGTTCTCAGAACCACGTGGCCGCCCTGTAAGGACACCTCCAGATCCCGCCTCTTGGACGCAGACGTCCTTGAGCATGAGATTGTCCCTCTGCAGTAGAAGCTTAATCACATTTCTCCTGTCAGCTCCAGTGTCTGACAAACATTCTTTGCATCTAAAAAGACTTTGGAGTTAGAATCACAGCGCCCCTAGCTGGGCAACTTTGAGCACAAAGGGATGGTAAWGTCCTTGCACGAGGAGCAGAGGAGGGACTGGAGGGGAGGGTGTGGCCAAGGTGGAGCGCTCTCCTGCCGACCTCCGCCCCAGTGCCCAGGGCCCCTGTGAAGAGGGACATCTCTGACAGTCCCCCGCAAACACCCACACCATCTCCATCCCTCTTCACTCACCTCCAGATCCCTTGCTCCTGAGAGTGGACTATGGAAGCATGTAAGTGTCCCTGAGGAGCAGGTGCCGTGGAGCGCACCTGTAATCCCAGTGACTCCGGAGGCTGAGGCAGGAGGTTTACCAGTTCAAGGCCAGCCTGGGTAACCTATTGAGACCCTGTCTCAAAGTAAAAAAATAACAGGGGCTGAGGTTGTAGCTCAATGATGGAGTACCCCTGGGTTCCATCCTCAGTACCAGAGGTAGGGGAGGGAGGAAGAACCCAATGATTCAAGTATTTTTAGGTTAAGGTATTAAAATTACATCTGTTTGCAAGTGGATCTCACCACAGATGACTTGGAGATGTCTTTTCAAAGAGTGTCAACAGTCTGTTCCTTGCAGGTGTTCCTTGTCACGTCTTTATGTAAAACCTTGCCATGCTGGCCAGGATCTAGAAGAGGAAGGAATAAGTGGATGAGTCCTTGGATGGGTGGGTGGGTGAGTGGCTACATGGATGGATGGATGATGGATAGATGGGTGGTGGGATGGATGGAAGGGTGAATGGCTGAATATTGGGGAGAAGGGTGTGGGGGGTACAGGATGGCCCACAGGCTGTGGCTCAGGCCCAAGCTGTGCCGGGGTCAGGGAAGCCAGCAAGGTCAGGTGGAAGATGGAGCTTCTGTGGGCTCCTATGCTGGCGTCTTGGTGGAAAGCAGATGGGAGACAGCTGGAGTCTCTCGTGAGGAAGGAATGGAAGAGGATGTGAGAGGCGCTTATCCAGAGCCTGGGCTGCCGTGGAAGGGAGGGAGGAGCCCAGGTCAGCTGACTGATGTGGAGTGGGGAGGGGCCTGGCATCTGACAGGGCGCAGGACAGGGTGGGAGGGCTCAGCCGGCTGTGCCCAGGGAGGGAGCCCCAGTCTCAATGGGGGTCAGGAAAGCAGGGGAGATGGCCCAGAGAGGGGTGAGGATCTCAGGAGAGGTGGTTCCACGCTGCAAGGGCTCCCAGGTGCTGAGTCCAGCATCATCCTCGACCACAGGGAGGCCAAGTTTGGTGTGACCCAGGCAGTGTCAGGTCAGGGCACGAAAATGCCCAGGGTTGAAAAGAGAAGGGGGTGCTGAAGTGGGGGAGTGCAGAGAGCTGGGTCAGGAGGAGAGGCTCGTGTTCTGGGGAGATGACCCAGTGCAGGGAGGAAGACTGAGGCGGGAGAGACAATGGGACGAGGCCCAGAGAAATGGAGGCGTCTGCCAGTGGGGATGGGGTCCCGGGTAGTGAGAGCTCTGGAAGAGTCCCAAAGGGGCACCCATTGGCTTATTTCCATGTTCTTCCGTATTCCATTTTATGCATGGATTTCCTTGTTCATGCATCATGGACACTTGGGTCACCTTCATCTTTGAGGGATGATGGGTAGTGCTGCTAGGAGCTATGCACATGTTTCTTCCAGTTCCTGTTTTTGGTTCTTTGGGTGTATGTCCAGAGGGGTTTTGCTGGTTCCTATGGTAATTCTATGTTTAATATTTTGAGCAGGAACCACACTGTACCATAGCAGCTGTCCCATTCTGCATCCCCCTGATAGTAAAAAGTTTCCAATTTCTCCATCTCACCGACACTTGTTGTGTGTGTGTGTGTGTGTGTGTGTGTGTGTGTGTGTGTGTGGCATCGGGATTTGAACCCAGGAGTACTCTATCACTGTTACATCCCCTGACCTTTTTATTTTGAGACATAGTCTTGCCAAGGCTGGCCTCAAACTTCAAATCCTTCTGCCTCGGCCTCTCGAGTCGCTGGAATAACAGGTGTTCATCACAATGCCTGGCTATTTTTTTTTTTTTAATAATAGCCATCCTGAAGGGTGTGAGGTAGTTTCTCCTTATGTTTTGATTTGTATTTTCCTGATGACCAGTGATTTGGGGTCTTCTCTTGTGCTTGGTGGCTCAGCCCATTCTTTTTGCATATAGGTCCTTGAACTCTGGGTCATCCAGGTAAGGAGGACAGGACATGGGGGCACCAGTCTTGCTCTGCCCTTAGAGGGGGCTCCTGGCCCCCTCCTCATTCTAGGCCAAGCTGTCACTCCTCCCACGTTGTTGCGTCTCTCCTTCTCCTCTGCCTGGGTTGCCGGGTCACAGGGCTCTCTGTCTTGCAGGTCATCTGTGGGAAGTGCTCTGAATTCAAGGCTGAGAACAGCAGACAGAGCCGGGTCTGCAGAGGGTGTTTCCTGGCAGAGCGGGTGGCCCCTGCAAGTCCCAGTGCTGAGGCTCCCTCTGATTCCAAGCAGAGCACAGAGGTGGGTGGCCCTGGTTCCTCAGATTGGAAATGATGGGGAAGGGGTCTCGTGGACTTCACAGGTCCTGGAACCGGGGAGAGCCAGTTGGAGTGATTGCCAATTGAAAGCAAAATATCATACAAAGTAAGTGCACACTGGGCTTCTCAGGACGGCTCAGGGCGGAGGCTTGGGAATGACTCTTATCCAGGGGTTAGATGGGAACCCCTGTCAGCTCCACTCCCTGTGACCCTGATTAGTATGGAGCTGCCCCCAAGTCCAGCACTGAGGTCTACCCGATGGCCTGCCTCCCTGCTAGTCCTTAGGACAGGCAGGTCCTGGAGGTACGTGGGAGGTCCCCTACTTCCCCTGAATATGGCCACTTTTCTAACACAGTCCCTACTTTCTGAAGTCCTAGGAAATCTGAGAAAGGGAAAACATGCTTTTCCAGAAAAATGTATTGCCCTTTCTCTCCACTTGACACACTATGATGTTCTCAGCGCCAGCTTCAAGAAGTTGGGTCTCCTGGGACCTGTTTATAACATTGGTTTTCCTCCTAAGGCTTCAGTTGGGTGGCCAGATAGGCTGGGGTCCATGTGTGGTTGAAGCTCCTGTCCATCCTGGCTCGTAGCTGTCAGGGGTCCCTTCTCTGGGTTTTTGCTCTAAGAGGTCACAGATGTAAGGATATGAGGACCAGGGCAGAATGGAGGCCCAGTAGGATGCTCCGTGCCCTGCCCACCTGGGCCCACCTGGTTCTGCATGGTCAATACTGACACGTATTCTGGGAGACCTGTGGAGGGTGGGCTCAGGCCTCAAAGGGCCACCAGGTCTTAGGAGACCAGATCTAGCAAATGGTGTTGGAACCACGTGTAGATGTCTCAGGGACTCCTCTCCAGAGCAGCTCTAGAGCACATCACGAGGACCCGTGAGTGAGGCAGGTGAGGGAGTTGTATGTGTGTGTGGCATGGGAATTGTGTGTGTACGCTTGTGTGGTGGGTGCGCTTCTATGTGGCATGTGGTGTGTGAAGAACTGAAACGGCAGGGTCCTTTGCATGGTGACCCACACGTGGTGCTTACTGTACCAAGGCTTTTCTCCTGAGGTTTCGACCTCGTGGCCTCACTCCCCATGTTCTACAAACTCCTCGTGACTCTATGGCACCTGAGCCCCTCAGAATGCCTGGAGTGACCCTGGAACCAAGTGAGGCCGGGCCCAGCCTCCCTCCAGGTGTCAGCCGCATCTCTGTGGCCAGCTCCTTCGGAGCATCTCTGGCCCCTCAAGGGAGACACCTCTACAGTTCAGTGACCTCACCTGTCTCCGTGTTCCTAGAAACCACCCGCCGTGGGTCCCCAGCCCAGCCTCATCAGTGGCCCCCTGTGGCTCTCAGACAATGGCACATCCTGGATTGAGGTGTGGGCCACCATCCCCGCATCGGACCCCCGGGTGCTGGACCTGCGTGGCAGCAGCGAGGTATGTGTTCCCTGCCCCAGGTCATGTGCCTGTCCTCACAGCCCAGAGTCTCAGGCCTGTAGCACTCACAGCAAGTCTGGGTCACCCTCCTGGGGCTGACCTATTCTGTGGTCTTAGGCCTCAGTTTTCCCAGCTGCCCAGAATGACCCTCCTCCCCACCCTGAGGAGACAGGGTGATGCCAGGACCCCAGAGCCAACCAGGGGACCAGGGGCAGGCAGGGTGCACAGAGGGCTGGCCCCTCCCTCCCACACACACTTGCTTGTTCACCTGTCCATTCGCCCTGGCTGGACGCAGCTGGGAGTACAGAACGTGGCGGGTGCAGCTCCAAAGCCCACATGGCCCCTCGTTCATCAGGAACTCTTGCCCTGTCCCTCTCAGTCCCAGCTGCTGACTGCCATGTCACAGGGGCTGTCCTGACTTGGCTCCCCGGGACTTGGGAATCAGAAGGACGCCACGGGGCCTGGGGTTCTGGTGAGGTGGGCAAGGCCCCCTGCCAGCGTCCTCCCAGGGGCCACCTGTCCTGCATGTCCACAGGCCCATCTGGCTCAGAGTTGGCCTGGCACTGGACATGGCAGTCCAGCGGCCTGCTCAGGTGGTGACCCTCTCTTGCTGCAGGATGGCCGGCTGCCGCACGCCGTCCCTCTGTCTGGCTGCAGGGTGGGCACTCCAGACCCCGAGGAGGGACTGACAGCGGGACACCTGTGGAAGCTGCAGCAGGGTCAGCAGCGCTGGTACTTCAGGGCCCCCTCCAGGGAGCTGCAGCAGAGCTGGCTGGGAGCACTGCGTGCTGCTGCCCAGGGGGACACCACCCAGGAGAGCCCTGGTGCCCCGCAGGCCCAGGCCCCGACTGGCACAGCTTCTTCCTGAGCAAAGCTTTGCTCTCTGTGACAATGACACGAGGAGCCGCTGTTCTCCCGGGAGGCAACGTCTGACCACATGAAGAAGTGACGCACTGCGGGGGTGGGGCGGTGGGAAGTCCCACGGCTCAGACCCTGGAGGGTCTCTCTGCTTTGATGAGGAGAAACTGAGGCCCRGAGAAGACCACCCACTTGCCCAGAGTCACCCAGCACGTCTCAGGAAAGAGCCCAAGTCTGGCTCTAGCCCAGCAGTGTGGCGGGAGCAGGGAACGTGGGCTACTGCCAAAGGCCACGTCCTCTGAGTCGGTCCTGTGGTCGCTTTGGCTCGTAAGACAGAGGAGGCTGTGTGGGTGCTGCCCAGCGATGACCGCTTCCCACCGGGTCCGCTGTTGCTCCTGGAGTGGGCAGTGCTGCCTGGGGTCTGCCCTGGCCCCTGTGGAACTGGACTGGGACTTGCTTCTTGGGCTCCACCTGCCTTCTCCGCCCTCTCCGAGGCTCTGCCTCACGGCTCGCCGCCCTGTCTGAGCTACCCACGGAGGGACCAAGGGTGGACCTGCCCTGTCCCGCAGGACTCTCAGGTCCTGAACAGCCACACTCAGAAACACTGCTGGGAGCCTGGCCCTGGCCCTGTGTGGTGGGCGTGGGAGACTGTGGCTGTCCCCTTCGGGGGTGGACGCCGTGCTTGTCTGTGTAAATAAACACTGGCTCTCAGCACGTGGGCACAGCCTTGGGCCCCCCAAGGAAGGAGATGACGCAAGGGTGACAGAATTGCGTGGGGTACTCCCTGGCCCAGCAGTTCTACATCTCTGGTCCAACCAAGGGTGTTGGGGTCTTGCATACAAGACGTGGGGGACATGGCAAAGGTCATGAGGGTGGGGGTACCGTGCAACAGAGCCCTGGGCCAKCGGGAGGGGGGGAGTTAGAGACTGATGACGGCACTATGTGGGGACACCTGGGCAGATGTGGGGTGCCCACCTGGGAGGCTGACAGGGTGGGTGTGAGCCAGAAATGGGTGATTGTCACAGGTAGATGGGGACACAGGTAAGGTGGGGCCGGGGCATAGTGAGCTGGGGTGGGGCAGAGGCAAGGTGGGGGGAACCGGCTCCTGCAGGAGACTCCTGGGCTGTGTGGGGAGGCCCCAGGACACTGTGCGTGGAGTCCCTGCTACACCTGGCCATGTGCCTGGTGCTCACTTCGCCCTGAGGAAGCTGAGGCTCAGGAAGCAAAGCAGCTCCATGCGCCCACCTAGGAGCTGGGGCCTGGTCCTTCTCACTGTCCCTCAAGCAAATGCGTCAGGTGCCCCACCCAGCTTGGGCCTGGGCAGGGCTTCAGGTGCAGGAGGCATGAGGGCCCCACGTGGTGGCTGGAGCAGCCCTGATGTCACCCTCCTACTCTCAGCCTCTTTGAGGCTCACACCCTCGCTTGGGCCCTAACACGGCTCCACCTGCTCCCAGAGCTGCGTTCATTCCTGCCATCTCATCACCACCCCAGGATGTTCCCACCTGAGGGGGGAAACAGTCACGGACAGATGAAGCCTGTGAGACCCACGGAGCCATCAGCTGGAACTGGCCCTCTGGGCACAGTGACTCCCATAGGGACTGCCGTCTGTGGGGGTCCGGAGACTGCTGTGGGGCTCCCAGGGTGGGGCCCGTAACCCCGACCTCTGTCTCCAGCTGCAGCAGCCCCCGTGGGGATGGGAGGGAGACAGGGCTCCAGGACCTCACAGTGACTTGCGGGTGGACCGAGGCCAGTGCTGGACAGTGTGGGGAGCCTCCCCCGGTGTGGGCCTGAGAGGCAGAGGGAGCTTCCAGGGTTTTCCAGAGGTGAGAGAAATCCGGGGAAAAAAGAGAAACAAACAAACAAACCAAGGAAACCCGGGTATTCTTCCTTGTGAAATATCCCCATAAATGCTAGCCGTTGCTGCAGTCTGAAATCACCATGTTCCCAGCCACCCCTGGGTGGCAGAGGGTACAGCTCAGTCCACAGAAGGTAAAACTGCCAGGAATCAGGGGCAAGGTGCCGAAGGGCACTCAGCTCCATGTCACCGGGGGCCTGAGGCAGGGCTGGCTCTCAGGCTCTGTCACCCACCGCGCAGACCTGCCAGGTGCCAGTGGGGCTGGTCTGGAGGCCGCAGGCTGCTCTTCCCATTTTTGCCAGATTAGGAGACCAAGGCTCCAACAGGGGCAGTGAGGGGCCTCTGCCTGCAGAGCCATGAGCCACTGCACTGTGGGTCTGTCCCCAGAATCCCCTCAACTGGACACCCCGGCAAGAGGGCTACTAGGGTCATCTGCCTCAGGCCTCCACACCCGCATGTCTGGGCGACCTGGATCTCAGTCACCTGCTCTGCCCCCATAGCCCAGGCCCAGGCACACGCCACTGCTCACCTGTGGAGCAGTGACAACTGCCACACCATGGGCAGGTGGTGGCTCTCCACCTCTTCCCTGTCCTTCCTCCTCCTCCTCCTCCCCAAGGCCAACCCCTCCCTCACAGGCACAAGAGGCCACCCCTGGCCTAGGAAGAAGGGCCCCAGGGTGAGCTAGGAGAGGTGGCTTCTGGGGTCTCAGAAACAGGACAGGGTCCATGGTGCCCTGTGCCCATCCCAGCCCGCTGCCTGCACGGCCTTCAGGTTGGCAGCTCCTGGTGCCAGTCCAGGGACAGAGCTTAGAGGACAGGACTCTTGRGCAGAAAGGTTTTCCCAGGTCCATTCACAGGAGAAAAAAAAAAAGAGAAAAACAGAAGAGAGGCGTGGACAGACCCACAGCAGAGATGTTGGAGCTCAGCTTCTGTGTAGGTAGCAGAGGTAGCTGACGGCCTCATCTGGCACACCAAGCCCAGAGTCAGGTGCTGGCTGCATCTGCAGCGTCCCGGGGAAGAAAAAGCAGCCCACAGTAAGGCCTGCTGCAGCTAGGTCCCCCCTACATACTGCCTGAGAAGAGAATCATGATTCAGAGGGTGTCTTGGCAGTAGTGAAACAGGACCAGAGAGGGGAGTACGCTCACCTGGGGTCACACAGTGAGTTAAGGGCTGGCCAGGATTCACTCACTCACTCACTGTCCATCTCATGTTGCTCATGTGCCAGGCACTGCTGCCACACCTTCTGAGTGCCAGCCCCATGAGAGAAGCAAGTRTACTTTGGATGTCACTTGGATTCTTGGAACAAGGGGAATTGAATGCCACCTGTACCCCTGGCCTTGCCACACTTGTAGCCTTGTTTCCTCCAGCTGCCCCACCTTCAGAGCCCACAGCTTCCTGCCACCTTGCACCTGCTCTGCTCTGTGCCCGGGGCTCTGCCTGCAGGTCCTCCTTCCTGGAGGGCCTCCCCAGAGGGAATCTTCCTGCCTCAGCTTCCCGAGCAGCTGAGGTTACAGGCCTGGGCCACTGTGCCTGGCTCCACTTTTTTTGTTTGGCTCCTTACTCTCTTGTTTAGCCTGCTTCTCCAGGGAGAGCAGAACCTCTGAGAGGGCAGGATGCAGCCCCTCCAGCAGAGCCTGGCACAGAGTAGGAGCAGACAGCCTTGGGAAGGCCCGTGGTCCCCCCACTGTGTCGCATGGCCTCTGGACCCTTTGGGTCTGGAATCCTCATCTACTGATGGGGAAATGGAGGGTGCATGAGGTCCGGCACTCTCCTGCTTCACGTCTGGGTCCCATCGACACCAGCGACACCTCCCTCTCAGATGCCTGATTCCACCCTAGAGACAGGCACACTGAGACCCAGACAGGCCACCRCTCTCCCAGGACAAGGCAGAGGGGGATTTGGACCCAGGTGGATTAGACACCACCTGTGCTCCTCTCCCACCCTCCCATGGGGGCAGCAGGTCATTCTGAAGCCCCAGAACTTCATACAACCGGCCCCCCACCAGCCACCTGTGCAGTCCTCAGGGCCTCTGCCGTAAGCAGGGGCCTCTCCTGCCTCCTGGAACCCAAGCCCCTCTGAGCARCCTGGCCTGGCCTGGCTCTGGGCATCTGGGGAGGAGGATGGGCTCACCTCTGTCTCTGCAGAGGAGTCCCCTCTAGGTCCGACAGGAGGACAACAGGGAGAGCCATGAGCCCAGCTGTCAACTATGGTGGCTGCATCATGACCCCGCGGCCTGATCCTTTCTGATACCTGCCCCCAGTGGGCAGGGCAAGCTGTCTGTGCAGGCGGAAGCTGTCACAGGGTGGTGGGGTTCAGGCCCATCCACCCTGCTTGGCATCTCCCCCTCTCCCTGGGTGGAGGCAGCCATGGTCCCTAAGGGTGCCAGGTGGCCCCTGCCCACCTCACCTCTCATGGTCACCGATCCTACCTACATCCATTCATGCGGGAGAGAACTAAGAGGAGATGCGAYCCAGCAGAGGCCACAGGCTCCTCCCCGACTCCAGGGATGCTGGATGAGGCTGGACTTGGAGTCTGGGGGACCCAGGAGGGAGGCCGCTGGGTCAGGGCAGCCTGGGGAGGCAGCTGGCCCCCACCTACATTCTGGGCATTCCATCCCAGGCCTCCAGCCTGGCTGGCCCCAGGGCCTGCCCCACCCTGCCCGCTGCCCCTGGAGTTTCTGGGCTCTGTGCCTGCTGCCAGCCAGGAGCTAGGCCGAGGCTCCACAGTCCTCAGGAAGGCTGCATCGTAGCCACAGCAGTGAGAGCGCGGGTTCCACGGGAGCCTCAGTGGCCTCAAGCCTGTCAGGTAGGTTTCCCTTGAACCCTGAGGGCTCRCAGGCCCCTCCCTGCTGGGCCAGGGAGCCCACACCCCATGCTGCCCTAGGGTCTCCAAGGCACCCCCCTCTCTGCTGTCCTTGCTCCYTGGTGCCTTATCTCCTCTTCACCAATGGAAGCCCTGTGCCGGCCCCAGGATGGACTCAGACCTCTCTGACCAACCAGAACCACATGAGGCTACTACGCCTGGGGTCAGGGACAGCAGTGACACTCAGCTCAGAGGAGAGCTGGACCTGGGAATGGGCTGTCGGAGCTCTGCATTTCTGGAAAGTCAAGGATATTCCAGGAAGTGGACTCCACCTTTTATATCCTGTGACATGGGCAGGCCAGTAAGCACCCCAGTTCCCTCAGCCACCGGGGTTGGGTCTGGACGGTCGTGTGAACCAAGGTGGAGGTAGGTGAGTCCSTTTTTCTGGTCGCTGTGATAAAGTAACTGAGAAAAACGATGTAAAGGAGGAAAGATTTATTTGGGCCCATGGTTTCAGAGGTTCCAGTCCAAGGTTGGCAAGCTCCACGGCTCTGGGTTTGAGGTGAGGGAGAGCATCAAGATAGGAAGGGTGTGGTGGAGCAGAGCTGTCACCTCCAGGCAGCCGGTAAGAGATGGGGGGAGGGGGAGGAGAAAAGGGGAGGGGGAGGGGGAGGGGGGAGAAGGAGGAGTAGAGAGGAGGGAAGGGAGGAAGGGGCCGGAACAGGTATAGTTTCCAGGGWGCACACCCCAGGACCCACTCCTTCAACTCGGTCCCATCCCTTTCAGTTTCCGCCACCTCCCATTAGTCCACCCCAACTGCGAGTCCACTGCTGAGGTCAGAGCCTCACGATCCAACCACCGCCCCAAAGCACCACCGCTGAACACTGCTGCTCTGGGGACCCAGCCTCAGGACAGGGGACATTCCAGATACAGACCCTARCAGAAGGTCACA